CCCTTTTTGGAAAAAATGGCAAGGGGTTAGTTCATAGTTTTTGCCAAAAAATGAAAATTTTCAATCCTCTCCATGATAGTCCTAACATGCCTTTAGAATCATTACGACTCCCGTTCGTTCCCAAAAAGGGGATTAGGGCAAATATTGATGATTTGAAAATTGCCCCTTTTTGGAAAAAAATGGCAAGAGGTTAGCTCATTGTTTTTACCACAAGGTGAAATTTTTCAATCCTCTCCCTTTTCTCTCTGTGATAGTCCTAACATGCCCTTAGAATCATAACGACTCCCGTTCGTTCCCAAAAAGGGGATTAGGGCAAATATTGATGATTTGAAAATTGCCCCTTTTTGGAAAAAAATGGCAAGAGGTTAGCTCATTGTTTTTACCACAAGGTGAAATTTTTCAATCCTCTCCCTTTTCTCTCTGTGATAGTCCTAACATGCCCTTTGTAGTATTTTGAATCCCGTTTGTTCCTCCCATAAAGGGGATTAGGGCAAATATTGATAATTTGAAAATTGCCCCTTTTTGGAAAAAAATGGCAAGAGGTTAGCTCATTGTTTTTACCACAAGGTGAAATTTTTCAATCCTCTCCCTTTTCTCTCTGTGATAGTCCTAACATGCCCTTTGTAGTATTTTGAATCTCGTTTGTTCCCATAAAGGAGATTAGGGCAAATATTGATAATTTGAAAATTGCCCCTTTTTGGAAAAAAATGGCAAGGGGTTAGCTCATTGTTTTTACCACAAGGTGAAATTTTTCAATCCTCTCCCTTTTCTCTCTGTGATAGTCCTAACATGCCCTTAGAATCATAACGACTCCCGTTCGTTCCCAAAAAGGGGATTAGGGCAAATATTGATGATTTGAAAATTGCCCCTTTTTGGAAAAAAATGGCAAGAGGTTAGCTCATTGTTTTTACCACAAGGTGAAATTTTTCAATCCTCTCCCTTTTCTCTCTGTGATAGTCCTAACATGCCCTTTGTAGTATTTTGAATTCCGTTTGTTCCCATAAAGGAGATTAGGGCAAATATTGATAATTTGAAAATTGCCCCTTTTTGGAAAAAAATGGCAAGGGGTTAGCTCATTGTTTTTACCACAAGGTGAAATTTTTCAATCCTCTCCCTTTTCTCTCTGTGATAGTCCTAACATGCCCTTTGTAGTATTTTGAATTCCGTTTGTTCCCATAAAGGAGATTAGGGCAAATATTGATAATTTGAAAATTGCCCCTTTTTTGGAAAAAAATGGCAAGGGGTTAGCTCATTGTTTTTACCACAAGGTGAAATTTTTCAATCCTCTCCCTTTTCTCTCTGTGATAGTCCTAACATGCCCTTAGAATCATAACGACTCCCGTTCGTTCCCAAAAAGGGGATTAGGGCAAATATTGATGATTTGAAAATTGCCCCTTTTTGGAAAAAAATGGCAAGAGGTTAGCTCATTGTTTTTACCACAAGGTGAAATTTTTCAATCCTCTCCCTTTTCTCTCTGTGATAGTCCTAACATGCCCTTACAGGTATTTTCACCCCTGTTTGTTCCCATAAAGGGGGTTAGGGCAAATATTGATAATTTGAAAATTGCCCCTTTTTGGAAAAAAATGGCAAGGGGTTAGCCCATCGTTTTTACCAAAAAGTGAAATTTTTCAATCCTCTCCCTTTTCTCTCTGTGATAGTCCTAACATGCCCTTAGAGGTATTTTCACCCCTGTTTGTTCCCATAAAGGAGATTAGGGCAAATATTGATAATTTGAAAATTGCCCCTTTTTTGGAAAAAAATGGCAAGGGGTTAGCTCATTGTTTTTACCACAAGGTGAAATTTTTCAATCCTCTCCCTTTTCTCTCTGTGATAGTCCTAACATGCCCTTTGTAGTATTTTGAATCCCGTTTGTTCCCATAAAGGGGATTAAGGCAAATATTGATAATTAGAAAATTGCCCCTTTTTGGAAAAAAATGGCAAGGGGTTAGCTCATTGTTTTTACAACAAGGTGAAATTTTTCAATCCTCTCCTTTTTCTCTCTGTGATAGTCCTAACATGCCCTTAGAATCATAACGACTCCCGTTCGTTCCCAAAAAGGGGATAAGGGCAAATATTGATGATTTGAAAATTGCCCCTTTTTGGAAAAAAATGGCAAGAGGTTAGCTCATTGTTTTTACCACAAGGTGAAATTTTTCAATTCTCTCCCTTTTTTCAATGTGATAGTCCTAACATGCCCTTAGAGGTATTTTTACCCCTGTTTGTTCCCATAAAGGGGGTTAGGGCAAATATTGATAATTTGAAAATTGCCCCTTTTTGGAAAAAAATGGCAAGGGGTTAGCCCATCGTTTTTACCAAAAAGTGAAAATTTTCAATCCTCTCCCTTTTCTCTCTGTGATGGTCCTAACATGCCCTTAGAGGTATTTTCACCCCCGTTTGTTCCCATAAAGGGGGTTAGGGCAAATATTGATAATTTGAAAATTACTCCTTTTTGGAAAAAAATGGCAAGGGGTTAGCCCATCGTTTTTACCAAAAAGTGAAAATTTTCAATCCTCTCCCTTTTCTCTCTGTGATAGTCCTAACATGCGCTTTGTAGTATTTTGAATCCCGTTTGTTCCTCCCATAAAGGGGATTAGGGCAAATATTGATAATTTGAAAATTGCCCCTTTTTGGAAAAAAATGGCAAGAGGTTAGCTCATTGTTTTTACCACAAGGTGAAATTTTTCAATCCTCTCCCTTTTCTCTCTGTGATAGTCCTAACATGCCCTTTGTAGTATTTTGAATTCTGTTTGTTCCCATAAAGGGGATTAGGGCAAATATTGATAATTTGAAAATTGCCCCTTTTTGGAAAAAAATGGCAAGGGGTTAGCTCATTGTTTTTACCACAAGGTGAAATTTTTAATCATCTCCCTTTTCCCTCTTTAATAGTCCGAACATCTCCTTAGAATCATTACGATGCTGGTATGTTCACAAAAAGGGAAATAAAAGCACATTTGATATAAATTCTAAAATTGCCCCTTTTGGAAAAAATGGCAAGGGGTTAGTTCATAGTTTTTGCCAAAAAATGAAAATTTTCAATCCTCTCCATGATAGTCCTAACATGCCTTTAGAATCATTACGACTCCCGTTCGTTCCCAAAAAGGGGATTAGGGCAAATATTGATGATTTGAAAATTGCCCCTTTTTGGAAAAAAATGGCAAGAGGTTAGCTCATTGTTTTTACCACAAGGTGAAATTTTTCAATCCTCTCCCTTTTCTCTCTGTGATAGTCCTAACATGCCCTTAGAATCATAACGACTCCCGTTCGTTCCCAAAAAGGGGATTAGGGCAAATATTGATGATTTGAAAATTGCCCCTTTTTGGAAAAAAATGGCAAGAGGTTAGCTCATTGTTTTTACCACAAGGTGAAATTTTTCAATCCTCTCCCTTTTCTCTCTGTGATAGTCCTAACATGCCCTTTGTAGTATTTTGAATCCCGTTTGTTCCTCCCATAAAGGGGATTAGGGCAAATATTGATAATTTGAAAATTGCCCCTTTTTGGAAAAAAATGGCAAGAGGTTAGCTCATTGTTTTTACCACAAGGTGAAATTTTTCAATCCTCTCCCTTTTCTCTCTGTGATAGTCCTAACATGCCCTTTGTAGTATTTTGAATCTCGTTTGTTCCCATAAAGGAGATTAGGGCAAATATTGATAATTTGAAAATTGCCCCTTTTTGGAAAAAAATGGCAAGGGGTTAGCTCATTGTTTTTACCACAAGGTGAAATTTTTCAATCCTCTCCCTTTTCTCTCTGTGATAGTCCTAACATGCCCTTAGAATCATAACGACTCCCGTTCGTTCCCAAAAAGGGGATTAGGGCAAATATTGATGATTTGAAAATTGCCCCTTTTTGGAAAAAAATGGCAAGAGGTTAGCTCATTGTTTTTACCACAAGGTGAAATTTTTCAATCCTCTCCCTTTTCTCTCTGTGATAGTCCTAACATGCCCTTTGTAGTATTTTGAATTCCGTTTGTTCCCATAAAGGAGATTAGGGCAAATATTGATAATTTGAAAATTGCCCCTTTTTGGAAAAAAATGGCAAGGGGTTAGCTCATTGTTTTTACCACAAGGTGAAATTTTTCAATCCTCTCCCTTTTCTCTCTGTGATAGTCCTAACATGCCCTTTGTAGTATTTTGAATTCCGTTTGTTCCCATAAAGGAGATTAGGGCAAATATTGATAATTTGAAAATTGCCCCTTTTTTGGAAAAAAATGGCAAGGGGTTAGCTCATTGTTTTTACCACAAGGTGAAATTTTTCAATCCTCTCCCTTTTCTCTCTGTGATAGTCCTAACATGCCCTTAGAATCATAACGACTCCCGTTCGTTCCCAAAAAGGGGATTAGGGCAAATATTGATGATTTGAAAATTGCCCCTTTTTGGAAAAAAATGGCAAGAGGTTAGCTCATTGTTTTTACCACAAGGTGAAATTTTTCAATCCTCTCCCTTTTCTCTCTGTGATAGTCCTAACATGCCCTTACAGGTATTTTCACCCCTGTTTGTTCCCATAAAGGGGGTTAGGGCAAATATTGATAATTTGAAAATTGCCCCTTTTTGGAAAAAAATGGCAAGGGGTTAGCTCATTGTTTTTACCACAAGGTGAAATTTTTCAATCCTCTCCCTTTTCTCTCTGTGATAGTCCTAACATGCCCTTAGAATCATAACGACTCCCGTTCGTTCCCAAAAAGGGGATTAGGGCAAATATTGATGATTTGAAAATTGCCCCTTTTTGGAAAAAAATGGCAAGAGGTTAGCTCATTGTTTTTACCACAAGGTGAAATTTTTCAATCCTCTCCCTTTTCTCTCTGTGATAGTCCTAACATGCCCTTAGAGGTATTTTCACCCCTGTTTGTTCCCATAAAGGGGGTTAGGGCAAATATTGATAATTTGAAAATTTCTGCCAAAAAATGAAAAATTTCAATTCTCTCCATGATATACCCAACACCAAGGATAATTTAGGGTTGATGAAATTGATTTTAGAAATCCACTCAAATTTTGTCTTTCCTCAGGCATTACTGAAAGCCACGCCTTCCGAGGAGCACACGAATCTCATCAGCGGCTACAAGATGCTGACCGAACCTGATCAGATGGGTGAAAGATTCAAGTTCTTCTCCATCCTACCTCAACTACCAAACCAGTATGTTCCAGCTGGATTCAGATAATACTGCCCTGGTGCCTTCATTGGAAGCACATAAAGACATTTTATATATAGATATATATCATCTTGTGTGTGTGTAGTGACCGAGAGAAATCTTTTCCATATTCAAATACTGGTCTTCCTGTACACGAATGTTACGTTAAAGCCATCATTTGTATACAGTGCGTCCCAGAAAAAAAGAAACCGAGAAGTATCGATGTTTTATCATAACTTAATCACACATATTTGGAAAGCTTAGAGTCTCCTCTTTCATGTGGTGCTACTCAGAAAATGCATATTTCACGCATGAATGATTAAAAGCAATTTAAAGGAAGGAAACCAAAAAGACATTTGGCAGGCGGTATCTGAATTTCAAAGAAAAAAATTCACATTTCTAAAAAGTTAATTTTCTGACCTTTCATATGATTCCTCAATCAAGGAAAATGAACCAGGAATAACAAAGTTCTGTTTGTTTAAAGTAGCCCTTACATTTTCATAATTTTAACAAACGAATTCGTTTTCACTGGGTGCCTGCCGTAGCAAAAAGCAGATTTGACAAAAGACTCAACTCCGTTTCGTTAACAATCAGCCATCATGAAGACTCTCGTCTACGGCTGATTGTCAACGAAACGGAGTTAAGTCTTTCGTTTATTGATACGGCAGGCAGCCAGTGAAAACGAATTCGTTTAATAAAATTATGGAAATGCAAACAGTACTTTGTCATTCCTCGCTCATTTTTCCTGAATGAGGTGTCATATGAAAGGGCAGAAACTGAACTCTCTTCGAATACCGCCCGCCAAATGTCTTTTTGGTTTCCTTCCTTTAAATTGCTTTTAATCATTCATGCGTGAAATATGCATTATCTGAGTAGCATCACATGAAAGAGGAGACTCTAAGCTTTCCAAATATGTATCATTCATTAGTTATGATAGAACATCTGGGACGCACTGTATAATTATGCTGCACATTAGAATGAAGTTGGGGATATAGTGCCGTTCCGTCCTTCCAGTAATTTTTAATGAAATAAAGGGTACATGGTATAAAAACACAAGTTCGGAAGTCAAAGTAATGTTTATTATGATGGATTTTAATCAAAGCATCAATATACTAAGTAGGTCGAATAATAATTAAACATGGCGCATACTTTTTCTTCGCCATGCTGATACAACATAGTAGGAGACCAGCCTCTGGGAACAAAGGTTCGTTATTGTGTACCCTGATTAATACCTCATAATTTTGACTTGGGCTGCCCCCTTGAAAATCCCGGGCATATGTGAGGGACCAACAACAGGGGTCGAAATTAAAATATATTCCAATCGTGTCGATATAAATATCAAAAACTTTTAACTGGTGGTCAAATTCACCGACACAGTTAACATCGTCCGACTCTAATGATTTTAGCGTCTAATGTTTTCTGACATGGCCTATATAACTTTCAAAATGGCTGCCCCGTTTCAGTGACAAACAACTTATCCATGGGTTTGGGGGAAATTTCAAGGTTATGGCAACCATTTTTTTTTATTTTAAAAGTTGCTCAGTTGAATTTGCCTTGTCAAAAAACATATTAAACACTAAAATCATTAGAATCGGACGATGTTAACTGTGTCAGTGAATTTGACTACCAGTCAAAAGTGTGTTGACCTTTCAACGTTTTTGATATGCATATCGACCCGATTGGAAAATATGTTGGCCACTCATGAAAATGGGCAGCCAAAGTCAAAATTGTTCAGTATTCATCCGGGAACACTCAAACATTAGTTCCCAGTGATTGGTCACGGGACCTACAAACATGGATGAATTGGCACGTCATGCCAATAACATTAATACAATAATTAATAAAGGTCTGTGACATCATAAAAATCTATTTTCTCAAATGTGTTAAGTTTTGGCCGAGATATGACCCACCTGAATAAAAAGATTTCCTATATAGCTCAGTGTTATTTTGATCTGGTTCGTAAAGGAAATCTATTTATTCAGATGGTCATATCTCAGCCAATACATAACATATTCAATTTTGTTTTCGAAATTTTTGATGCTCTTTCCTTGCCACATCAACATACAAGTTACTATGTGAGTAGAAAATTGCTAATTATCTATGAACAGTAAATGATTATACATCTTATGACAGAGTGTTTTATCCCAAATCATTTGGTATTGTTTGCGAGAGTGCAAAATCGACTTGTGCCACAGTGATGCTTACAGTGTGTATTATGTTTCGATTAGCAGAGTGAGAGAATAAATTTAAACGATGCACATTAATCATTAATATGCATTTCACACACGTAAAATTTTGCTTAGCCCGCTTTCTGTTCAGACATGAATTAACAGAAGTGGGCTAGCCCCACCTAAAGTACGGGGTTAGTTGGCTCTGCAATTCTGGTGCCAAGCAACCGAATAAGACCAAAAACAAACTAGATGGATCTTCGACCGCACACAGTCGAAAATGATGCCTCCGCCATGCAGCAATTTTACAAACCAAAACAGAAGCGAGCTATTTTTGCATACATAATGAGCCCTGTGTTCATTGGTTCTGCAAGATAACATACATGGCCTAAGTTTGGCGGGAATCCATCAATGGGTTCTTGAGATAACGCGATCACGAGAACGGGACGTACGGACGGACAACCCAAAAATATAATGCCTCCGGCTACTTTGTAGCGGAGGCATAAAAATAGTCTAATGTACTATGCAATGGAGCGTATTGGAGCAACACACTGTCCAATCAGAGACAATGTATTCATGAATATCCATTTCCTGTAAAGCACTACTAGTACGAAAGGACATGTTGAGCGCGCTCTTATTGTATATTATGCAGATTTTCACTATTCTTTTTTGAGGCGACTTTTATAAACGGAGTGATCTTACTGAAATGATAAGAATTGAGATTGTGTTTGAATAATCAGCTGAATAACAAGCAATTATACCGGTTTTATTATCAAATAAATTTTGAAGTTATATTAATTACCTAGCATTTTGTCTTGATTATTTCATTTATATAAGGCTTGTACTGCAGCTGATGAGTTGCAAATCAATCGTGTATATACTGTAGTGTGCATGCTGCCCTACGTTCTGATTCCTGATCCTACATGGCGGGTCAATGAGTGCTATGAAGTAAAACCTAGTGGTATGTAAGTTACGCGACATATGACCCGGCCCCCTGATTGAGCGAACAAGTGCGCAGCTGCAGAAAATTAAAAAAAATTGTAAGCAAAACAAGTGTAAACAGCATATTATTAACTTTCAATTAACTTGGAAGAAATAAAACTGTATTTTTCATTACCTATTTCATTACCATTGTTTGTGTATAATGATTCTAGCTCAAATCCATCAATTGGTTCATGAGATAACACAACCCGAAAACCTAATGCCTCCGGCTTCTTCGTTGCGGAGGCATAAAAATATTGTTTTGGGAGTATTTACCAACCAACCATGCTGCAGAACCCCTGATTGATACTTATTTTCCACATTTTATCTAAAATTGTTTAATATCATAGTCCATTGCATTACCTAAATCATATCATGAATCAATTTTGAGCTTCTTCCTTGAATGAAACTGCTCCGTTTTATTCTTGATTGATCTGACCAACTGTGAAACCTCTACATTCATCTTTTTCTCTTTTTTCTCCTCTGCTGTCTTCTCTTCATCTTCTACCCCTTCCTTCTCTCTCCTCGCCCTCCTCCTCTGTTTCTCTGTGACCAATGTCTCCATTGCCTTGGTCTTCTTGTACTGAGAATCCGAGGGATCGATGGCATACTCGTGCGACGTGAACAGGGCATCGAAACGAGGGTCTGCTGCGTTGATCTCAAACTTGTCTTGAATGGCAGTGTGGACTTCTTCCTCCGGCTGGCCAAGCTTGCGCTTTTGCTTCAGTTGCCTCTTGCGTTTGCTCTTCGTCATGTTTTCGTTTTCTATGATGCTCTTCAGGTTAAAGTGCTGCCTGCCGTCGTCCTCTTCATCCAACATCAGCAGCTCTAGTGCAGCCTGTTGAGAAATTCAATAGATGTACAAATAATATTTTGTCATTGTTACTATTTTGTAACTGCATTCAAAATTAAAATAGTGGTATGCAATTGAACAGAACACCTTCACAATTATACAGTGCACATATACCCAGGAATATATTACAAATTAACAATTTTCTATTCAAAAATTTCTGTCTCCATGTCGGCAAGTGATATTTTTTTGTTTAGTAAGAAAACATTGAAGATGAAGCAAATTTGGTCCAGTAGCCTCTCCATAAGCTACTGTCATGCAATGAAAATAAATTGCTTCTTACCTTTCTTTGCTTCTCTTCTTCCAATTCTTCTTCTGTTTTCATGTCTTGTTCCTTTTTGCCCTTCCTTTTTCCTTTTCCACCTGATAATGATACAGAAATGAACACAAGGACCTTAATTACATATTTCTAATGTAATTGTCATCTGAATGAGATGAACATTCCCAGCAATTGAATCATCAATTACATGTAAATCCCGGCAAATTCCATGACTTGCCAAAACTGAAAAACTGAGCAAACAAAATTTGTCATTCTAAAGTTTGTTATATTGATAGTCACATTTGTATACTACTTAATATTACCCAATCATGACAGAGTATTCCGGCCAGGCATCATTTTGCATGCGCTTTTAGTGCCAATTCTACCACATTAACATCTGCATGCTACAGGGTAGCCATTTGAAGATCAAACGACTTGCTCAAAGACATTAGTGCTGTGACGTGATCGAACCCATGTTCTTCTCATCTCTAGTCAAGTGTTTAAAGGTAGAGTATCCCTTTTGCAGCCAACATCAAATTCTGTAGAACTTGGCAGGTATCATGAGTAATATGTTGTGTATGTTGTATCTTTGAAATTTAAACATTAGCAGTGACCTAGTTATGCAAGGGAAACCCTTTTCCGTCAGACAATGTCTTTTCAAAATTTGTTAATTGATAACATTAGCTGTAAAGGATCATTCGTCTACATCAATGACCCACTTCTTATAATGACCAAAAAATCAGCACAAAAAGTATGACTATGTAGTACAAGGGTCTGAAAATCAGACTATCTTCAAGGCCTTTTTTTTGGCAACGCATTTGGAAAATTCCCAATGTTCAATATTGCCTCTGAAGAGGAGTATTTAGTTGGTATTATCTCTTGTTTACCATAGGACGTACATAATTTTGTATTTTCAGCCTGCAAAAGGAACAGACTACCTTTAAATCAAAACCGATACCAACGACACATATTGTTTCTATTCTTTTCACTTGAGAACAGGAATTAATCATTAAAAATATAGAAATTGCTATCACAAACACGATACCTGATTCGCTTTCCTTGAGGGAGTCCTTGAAGAAAGAGTCGTTCAGGTCAATATCATCGGGAAGTTCATCATCACTGAAAGCCTGGATTTCTTCTCCAATATCAACATCCTTCTAAAGTTACACAATAAAGACAATTACAGGTGTACATTTCACTGAAATCGTAGCCAAGAGTTGACTTTTAAGTGGCCGGGTTATGAATCTATGCATTGGCTGGAGCAGGAATTAGGTTAATATCACAACACTTGAATATTTCATATATTTTTCTCTCCATGCAGACTAAAAATCATATAGAGACTCTATAATGTATTTGTATTTTGAAGAGAAAAAAAAAACCTTTTAAATAACTAGAAAAAAATACAGAGATCTGAGCAAAGTCTAAATAATGTAGAATATGGATAGGAAAATTCAAGCAATTAGTTCCTGACATTTTCTCTCCGATTAACGAGAAGACGAATTAAGAATCAGGTTATACCCGTACTTGTCATGAGGGTTGACAAGGTTATTTAGTTACGTGTCTGCAAGTTTTTGGCAATAAACTTCAATTTAGAAAATATGAGATTTGGTTAAAGGTACTTTGTCCCATTTGTAGCCAACATCAAATTCTGTATAACTTTGCAGGAATTATGAATATGTCACATACATGCCAGTCCTATCTGTGAAATTTAAACGTTAGCAGTGTCCTATTTTTCAAATTACGCAAGGAAACCCGTTTACTTTCTAGACTTCACTAGCAGACACTATTGAGTGACTGACTGATTTCGTTTTTTTTCTTTGTTAATAATCTACAAAAAATGAGCTGTTTAGGTATATGCGCATTTGTCTACATCAATAACCCACTTCTTTTAATGGGCACAATTAAACGATCATTTGGTAAAAGGGTCTGAAAATTAGACTATTACTAAACTGATTGCAATCATTAAAGTCGATTTGACGACTAATGCTCGTTATTTTCCCACTAAAAGACATTTTCAAGCCCTTTCGTTTTGAGAGCAGTTCTAAATTAGTATTATCTTTCGAATTCCGTTGGAATTTAACCTTTTCATTTTTGGGCCTGCAAATGGGACATAGTACCTTAATTGAAATAAATTTTGAACTCTTACAGTATTTTGTCCAGCCTTCAGCTTCTTCCTCTCCTGTTGACGCTCTTTCTTCTTATCCTTCTTCTTCTCCAAGTATTGCTCCCAAGGTGTTGAGCTGCTTGATTCTGCTTTTTTCTTCACTATTTCTTGAGTGGATTCCTTCAGCCCTGCAAAGGAAAAAGATGGCGGATAATCAGTTTTTCTCTATGAGTAACATGTAACATCTTGTAATATCTGATCCAACTGTTTGGCTTCTGTGTCATGATAACACTCACATTTTTCACTGATGGGAATATTTGTATTTGTTCGCCTGGCTTCTAATATCAGATAATATGGCTGGCTAAATGGTAGCTATATAGGCTTCAGTCACAAGTTTAAAATGTGAGAATCCGGATCAGGCCTTAAAGGTAAAGACCAGTTTTGGTCATGCGATTGCATTGTGAAAGAAACGTTGTGGAATTGATCAGAAAAGGTTAATCATCTAGCATATAAGTATTGGTGTGTACTGCAAGGTTCTGGAATCATCAAAATGATAAGAAATATGGCCCAGCCTTCGTAAATTTACAAGCCTTGTACACAGAAAGATGTAAATGGGACTATACGCACATGTGCGCGACATGTGCGTTTATCTCTCACAGACCATGTAGATAAACTAATTTACCAAATATATCAATTAGTAGGCGGTTTCCCAGCAAATTTTTTTATCATGTATCAGTCAAAACATATTCTTTCACATGATTGGTAATAAGAGCTTCCATTTCATTTTTTGAAATTGGGGCGTTTCCTATACAGGTCTTTACCTTTAATATGAAACAATTTGTACCTCTTTTACAAAATAAATGACACAATTACAAATATTTGAAATAAAGTTAAATTTTTTTTTTTTTTTAATTGACAAATAATTTATATTAATGCATAGGAAAAATCAGCTTGTTATAACAATTGAGGGCCTTCAAATTGTGTTCTCTCCTCTAATTTGTGTTTTTATGTTCCATGCATTGTATATGTTGTTTGTCTTGTGCACCCCCTGCCAATGACATAATTGGGATTCACAAAGATAGAAACCAGTGAGTTTCTAAAAAAATTATAACGCAATCACAATCTCACTATAAAGTGAGATCCTGATCGGGAACAGTAAAAGCGAGATTTTTGTAATAATCACTATTATTTGGCAGGGTGTTTTTGCATGTGAGCAAAAGAGATATAACAGTGCTTGTCAAGAAGTGAGATATTTTCCCGGAGTATAAACATTTCCACAAAAAAAAAGACATCCAAATCTCACTAAATTGAGTGTGTGTGAATGGGCCTATAGTTGTATTTTAAGTTTCACTGTATCATGGACTCGTGTACAATTTAGCAAGTCCTTGTTGAATTTTTGTTGTAATTTTCATTGACTCTGTTTCATTTCATATACATATTTACTTTTTAAACTATGGATGATTGGAAAAATCAAATAAAAGTGGAAGTAAAGCCGATTCATTTAGACCTTACTAAAACTCTGAAATGCTATGGCTTACGCTAAGGTCACAAAGGTTCGTACGAACGATAATTTTGTACGAATCTCCCTGTTTTTCCATTGTCTTCCCGAATTTCCATCGTCTGAAAATCGTTTGTACGGCACTCGTGACCGAGGCTTTAACAACAGTCAAAAGTCACAGAAAAAAATGATGGTTTCACCTGCCTTACAAGCATATTCGTTCAACTACCATCTTTTCTTTATAATTAAAAAAAGGAAATTACCTGGTTCCCAAGAAATCTCCATCTCCATGTCTTTATCTCCATCCTGCTTCTCCTTCTCTTCTATGCCCCTCAGAAGATTCCGGTATTTGTTGATGCGGTCCTTTTGGCTGACAGGGGTTGCATTTTCGCTCTCTTCGGTTTCCTCATTTAAACCTGACAGACAAAGCAGTACATAATGTATCAATGACATGCCCTTTCACTTTAGGGCCCTGTTCACATATTACATGGTAAACTGCTGCGGCAAAAATAAACTATAAATTTTTTTTTTTTTAAATAGATCGATGTTCGACTGCACGCAGTCATAGAATGATTTTACAAACAAAAACAGAAGCAATTTTAAAAACTCAAGTTTGATTGTAATCAATTAAAAGGTTAAAAAATATTGTGATTGCAGTGATTAATCATATACGTGTATGACCCTTTGAACTTTGACCTCATGACCCTAAAATCTAATCAGTTCATTGGCTTTGCAAGATACATACATGACCCAAGTTTGATGGTAATCCATCGATTGGTTCTTGAGATAAAGCGATCACTAGCTATTTTCGCAAACATAACAAGTCCTGTGACCTTTGACCTTGTGATCCACAAAATCTAATCAATTCATTAGCTCTGCAAGATACATACATGACCCAAGTTTGGCGGGAATCCATCAATTGGTTCTTGAGATAAAACGATCACAAGCTATTTTCGCATACATAAGTCCTGTGACCTTTGACCTAGTGACCCACAAAATCTAATAAATTCATTAGCTCTGCAAGATACATGCATGACCAAGTTTGGCGGTAATCTATCAATTGGTTCTTGAGATAACGCGATCACGAGAACAGGACGTACAGACATACGGACAACCAAGAAAAATGATGCCTCCGGCTACTTTGTAGCAGAGGCATACAAATGTTACCCTAGAAATATCACATTTTGACATTTTTGACACACAGATATTTAAGTCTGTATGCACAGGGGCCTTTGTTGCCCCAAGCTACTCTTTTCATCCCAACTTCCCATTTATTTGCATAGTTATGTTTAAATGGTTCTTATTTTCTTGAAACTAAAGTGTGAATAAGGTGGAATTTTAAGCTTGCGCTGCGTGTAAAAAGCTTTTAACACAAGTTGAAGTATACACAGCTAGAATAAAATATTTTCACAATGGAGATGTAACGTATGCAATTTGCAGACTATTTAAATACAATTATTTGCGACACTCAAGTGAAATAATTTTAACGAGGCACTTCACAACTTTACAACTTTTAATACGTTTCAAATGGCCTATTGGTAGGGGCGAGGAGGAGTAGGGGATATGGGAGGGGCGGGTGAAAGCATGTGGGCACTTGTTAATCTGTCTTTCTTTTCCTTTCCTCATGTAATACAATGGATACTTTTTAATTTAGATTTGATGCCACATATTTCTCTGGCCAGGTTGATCTACAGGGTACAACACAAAATATGAATAATCCAAGGTAAAGACTTACTTCCTTCCACTCGATCCTCCACATCCTCCTCCTCCTCCTCCTCACTGGATGAGGCCAGGTACGCCTGAATGTGCGACTCCATCTCCTCCATCTTCTTCCTGCTCTTGAAGAGCTCATCCGTCTCCTTCGCCCTCCTCTTGTCATTCTCATCCCACGTCAGCTGGACGCTGGATCGGGTCAGGGCAGTCGTCTGGAACTCCAGGGGCTTGAACTGAGAGGCTTCCGGGGCTTCGCATGCCACACCCTTGGGCTCGTGGTCGAAGGTGGTGTCATCCGGTATGAACCTAAAACCCAACAACAATTGCAGAATAAGCTTTAGAGTTTATTGGTACTACACTAAATGAAAAGACAGCAGTGAATAGAGACATATACTGTATATGAAAGACTTGCGTATTGCACTCAGGAGTAAATTGGACAATATAAGCAGAAACAAAATGAACAAAGCACACAAAAAATGAGCTTTAAACATTTGAAATGTAATTTCAAATTTCACTATTACTGCTATCAAATTAAAACCCACCAGAAATTTTAGAAAGTCAAGACTAAGGTAAAATCTATAATAGTAATACGCTAAGGCTCCGCGGGGGGCATGACGTCTCCGCCGGCCGTTGTATTCTATTGTTTTTTAATGAGATCGCCGACCGAAGTTGGTGCAGCTATCTCCTCCTGAACCCTCCCCTCGGGGTACCGGTGACCGGTGCCGTCGTCCGCGGGAGAGTCTACTCTGTCGAATTGGCTATACTCCGCCAGAGGTCCTCCTTCGTGTCGACGTCCAGGGCGAAAACAGACGCGATATGCATAATGCAGGATATGCGTGACGACAGAAATACCTCATGGATATTCAACATAACATCCGTAGACACACGACCGATGACTATCCACTCACATTAAGTTGCGTATTAAATGCACTATGCACAGGGTCGGGATTACCCGAGTAAAGCATCTTTCTATAGGATATCCTTTATAGTAGCTGCACACGCCACAGAGATACACACGAAGCTTCCCGTCCACATCCAAACTTAGGGACCTATTTCCATCATTATTGCCGCGATTTTTATATAGTTTTCGTGAATGGAGGTATGAAATCAAAGCTTATTTTGTGATTACTACGGCCATATATACTAAATTTTGATTATCATTTTCTAAAGGAAAGTTTTCACAAGAAAACCATTGGACTGACAGTTCAGTCGCAAGCTGCCTTCAGTCAACACACAGTGCATTGCTGCTGTGCAGTGTGTGTGAGTTGCCGTTAACTCCAGGAAGCTCCAACACCGGCTCCGCGCACCGCAGGCGTCCGACGCCTGCGACGCCGGTGTTCGAGCTTCCTGGAGTTAAGCTGTGTGTGTGTGTGAGTCAGGCGCGTACGCAGGGGGGGGGTTTGGGGGGTTAAACCCCCCCCTTTGGAAATTTTGTGTGTGTAAACCCCCCTAAAAAAAAACTAAACCCCCCCCTTTTGGATTTTTTTTTTTTTTTTTTTTTTTTTTTTTTTTTTATAAAAAAAAAAAAAAAAAAAAAAAAATTATTCCCATGGCCGACCTAAAAAAGGTGACCTTACCCCCCCCCCCAACGGAGCAAAATGTCAAATTTCCAGACCAAAAAAAAAAAAAAAAAGTGTCCTCTTACCCCCCCCCCCCCCCCCCCCCCCCCCCCCCCCCCCCGCTTATTCAGCGGCTGGCTGAGTCGTTGCGATTTTTTTGGGACCAAAAAAAAAAAAAAAATGTGTCCTCTTACCCCCCCCCCCCCCCCGCTTATTCAGCGGTCGGCTGAGTCGTTGCGATTTTTTTGGGACAAAAAAAAAAAAAAAATGTGTCCTCTTACCCCCCCCCCGCTTATTCAGCGGCTGGCTGAGTCGTTGCGAAATTTTCGGACCGATTTATAAATGTTAAAACCCCCCCCTTGAAAAAATCCTGCGTACGCGCCTGGTGTGAGTTCAGCTGAGCTGAGCTCGAGTCGAAGAGATTTTGACACTTTGAAATTGTTATCTGTTGGTTTGCATCATTATTGCCGCGATTTCAATATAGTTTCGTGAATAGATTTACGAAACCTCAGCTTAGAATTAGTAAAAGTATTACTAATGTCTACGTTTTTAAACGACTGTCTGATTTTCTTGTGAAAATTTTACTTTGAAAAATGATTATCGAAATTCATGGTCAGAAATAATCACGATCTAGGGTCTATTATGTTACAGTTCTTGCATCAAATCAATGCATGAAAACTTAGTTATTGAACTAGAAAAATGTTTTTTTTAAATAGGCAATTATGAAGTAGGAAGCCTGAAACCTGTCCTTAGCCTACTAAACAAATCTCAACAAAGTGTAGGCCTATCCTTTTATGAATTAATGAAAAAGTAGCCCCTGAAAAAAGAGCCCCCGAAAATTTCCCCAAATTTGAAATTTGAAATGAAAAACTTAATTTTTTGCCTGCGCCCCCCTCTAGAATCCCTTGGATTTCCACGGTTCCTGAGTTGAGTGTATATATAATATAGGCGTGGGGTCCACGGGTTTCAAGGGGCAATAAACCCCCAAAAGCTCGGGGGTTACGTTCTTCAAAGTTGGGGGGGGGGGGGGGGAGATCAGATCGCAGCGAGTTGAGTGTATATATAATATAGGCGTGGGGTCCACAGGTTTCAAGGGGCCATAAACCCCCGAAAGCTCGGGGGGTCTAGGCGTTTAATTAGGGTCAGATGAGCATATTTTTAATACTTTATTTGTGACACTTGCGGGTCACTAATTGGCGTGGGGTCAATACTTAGAGTTGCGTAGTGTTGCGTACCAACTACGCTGGCCTACGTTACTATATGCTGAGGGACGGAAAGGGGTACGCAAGATGAACGAAAACAATTCAACATGTTTAATTTTTTTCGCGTACTTTCGGCGTAGAAACTTGACGCAGAAAGTACGCCTTTTTACGCAACACTACGCTACATGCCTACGCAACAGTACGCTACCCTACGCCAGATCGACAAAGCAGTAAAAGCTTTCCACACAGTAAGCAACCATAAGCTAACCTGTACGCCAGCCTACGCATAACCTACACAGGGACTATTTTCCCATTAATACGCAGCCTAATTTCTGCGTAGTCGGTACGCCACACTACGGAACTCTACGCAGTTCCAGTGGCTTAAAGAATAACTACTGGTACAGTTGGATCGTTTTTTTAATTTTTATATAAGGCCAAATTTAAAAAAAAACATGTTTAGCGTCCTGTTTTTTCGAAAAAATGGGGAGGAGGCCCTTTTTTTTTTTTCTTTCAAAATGGCCGCTCCGTACATTTTCCCTGACATTTGGGCTATTTTTCAAGATGGCGGCCGACAATTTTTTTTTTTTTTTTTTAAAATCAGAAATACATTTTAGCTGTACTTTTCATGTTTTTTTTCTTTCAAAAAAAAAAAAAAAAAAAAAAAAAAAATAGGAGGCGGCCCTCAAAAAGGAAGCGGGCGGGGACGCTAAACATGTATATTTTCTTAATGGCCTGAATGGCAAATAAAGATCTTGGCGGTTTTAATTTAGACAGTCTCTATATATCTATTTACACCCCCGCCCCCCTCTAGAATCCCGCGGATTTCCGGGGGTCCTGCTAGTTGCCATATATAATGTTACATGTCATTTATAATAGAATTAAAGAATTACAAGAGAGTTATTAAAGATAAACTCCAGTACTGGTAATGCGATTGCATTGTGAAAGAAAAGGTGTGGAATGGATCAGAAACAGTTGATCATGTAGCATGACAGTATTGGTGTGCACTGCAAGGTTCTGGAGTCATCAAAATCATAATAAATTTGGCAGAGTCTTGGTAAAGTAACAAGCACTGTACACAGAAAGCTATACATGGGACAACACACATGGTGTCGGGGCTAGTACTACCTTGATTTCCTTGTCTTACTATGCTCAATACTCAGCCAGTATACATTTTCTTCCAAAATTGTTTGGCACATGTCATTTATTTGTAATCTTGAACATTCAGTGTAAGTTTCGTTTGATTCTGTGAGAATTAATTTTCTTTTTTTACCAGACCTGGAGTTTATCTTTAAGGGCACAACACTTGGTTTTCTCCCTTATGTCAAACTATAATTTAATCCTTGTATAAAGACAATAAAATGAAGGGAAAAAAGGCATTTAAAGTGGACAGGCCCATTGCAGTCACTCACCTAAGATCGAGCTTGGATGCACTGGTTTCATACTCCATTCCATCACACTGTTCATAAATGGTATTGGCTGTATCAGCATTGTCACAATCTGCCACTGCATAGTAATACTTCAACCTAGGAATTAAATAAAACAAAAAAGGAAGCAAAGTTAGCTCAAATGAGCTGTTAAAGGTACTATCGGCCATCTGCCAGCAACCAATATTGATCTACCGGTAGTATCATTTTCATGGGAACTATGTGTGAAATTTCCGATCTAGGCCTGTTGCAGAAAACTTAACATTGATGGCAAAGTTACCATCAATGGTAAGTTTTATGTAACAGGCGTTCCCCTAGAGTCATTTGGAATATATAAATAGCCTGCTCTATGTACAAGCTAAGGAGTGACACAAGAGTATCTTTCCATATAATGGGGACAGAGTAAGACACTGTAAAGGCTCATTTTTATATGATTTGGTAAATCGCCATTTAAAAAAAACCTGTAAATGAATAGCAACTTCACGCAACAATGGCACTACGCGTAATCATTTAGCCCTGCGTTAAGGATATTGCAGTTTGCATCATTAAAACGCCACAGTTTACTATTGTTTATCAATGCAAGGCGTACCTGTAACTTGCCACTCCCCTATTTCATAGACGCAGACTATGTCAAGTGTAAAACACCCCGTCCCTTGGAATTAATGATTAAACTCAAAGTTGCATGCAGCATTCACATTTTGGTAAAGATAGAGACTTTAAAGTTTGGTTTTATACAAATAATTCTTGCGAAATTTACAAACTAAAAAAAGAGAGAATATACATTTATATATAAACAGATACCGGTACAAATTGTTTCACGTAACGAATAAACATCACATCAGGTTTTCCTCTTTTCCCTGCTTTCCTGACATCAGAGGAGACACACTGTCTCAATAGTCCAGACAAAAATATCTCTATTTGTAATATTTTGGCAGCACTGCTAAAAAAAAAAATGTGCAGCAATCCGTCAATAGTTTTTTCAATCTACAAAATGTTGGTTTTTAGCATTCTGTGATTACCCCAATTTTTTTTTAAAATATCAAATTCATTTCATTCAATTTTACGCATGTCGAAGAATGAGTGCAGAAATACCATCAAACTAGCAGATTCTTTCTTAACTGCAATAACACCAGGGGGCTGTTTCATAAAGCTGTACTTAAAGTTACAAATGGGATGCCCAAATTTGTTCCTGACATTTTAACAAAGTGTGACTGTATTTCCCATAATCTCAATAAAATTGTAGTAAAAAATACACTTTGCATTGAAATGTTTTGTTAATGATGAGATCAATTTACATCTGCATATTTCAACTTAAGCTCATGCAATTAAAAGGATCTGAGAATCCCATTTAGCTCTTCATATTCAATTCATTCGTAAAGTCATGCATAACTTTACGCACAGCTTTATGAAACACCCCCCAGGATAGAACATTAGCAAGTTGCACACAACTGGGGCCTGTTTCATAAAACTTTTTATCCATAGCAAATGCTTAATTTTTATGATAAGTTTGCTCTCAGCCAATCAGATGCCTTGATTTCAGTAGCTTATAACAGTAGCTTGTAACTTGTTATTGATATAAAGTTTTATGAAACAGGGCCCTGACCTTTGCATCTGATACTTGCGCAGTTTCTCCCTCTGATATCGCTCCTGCTGGATCCCACTCAACCTCTCCTTCTTCTCATCCTTCTCCACCAGCTCCTGAGGTCCCTTAGCATCTTCTTCCCGCATCCGCTCCAGTCCAAACTCGGATGGGTATATCTGTAAGGACGCATAGAATAATGTTAAATTGGCATCAGGGGATTCCAAAGGGCCGTTTTAGCAACCACAAAAAATTGTTGGTGTTCGGTCACGCAAACAGGGTGGATAACAACCAACCAAGAATATGTTGATGGAGAATGCAACCCATGAATCACAACGTGGAACTAGTCTGAGGGAAATGTTTAATTTGGGGGGGGGGGGGGGGGGGAGGGACGCAAGGAAACCTACGGGAAACGGATGACTCCTGTTGACACAAAGAACAGGGAACAGATGAGAAATTGACTATCTGAACGGATAATGAAGTATCAAGGGAAAAATTGCTGACTCTGTCAAAATGAAGTCCTATGAAAACAGCCAACTAAAAGGAAATATCCAATATCCACAATTATTGGTCAATACTACTTTCAAGAATCTACTACAACTACTTTCAACCATACTGACAACATATAAAGGGCAATCCAACCTTTGAAATGATTTCATTGAAAGCAGAAATATAACAGAAACAGAATGGAGAAAGTTGGAAATAAATAGGACAAGAAGAAAGTTATTTGTGTTGTAATGTTGTAACTAAAACCTAATCTTGATCTAAGGAGACACTGACTAACGAACATCATCTGTGTGAATCTCAAATTGGCAAATTCAGTCAGTTGATCGACGTAGTTGTGTAGACAACTCCCGTTTGTCAAGCACAAGAATATCATAAATTTCTGTTTTTCTCCTCAGTGCCTTCTCCTTTGGGAATTGGGGTACTAATTAAAATATATTAGGGGCAGCATATTATTACAGATCTCCTAAAATGAAAAGACCGTTTAAGTCATGCATTATGAAAAATTTACCTTTCAGTAAATATGTGTATTGAAACAAATGGAAGAGTTGTCAGCCACTACATCACAGTGACGTTACAGATTCAGCCAATTTGAAGTACCCATACATGTACATGTGCAATGTACGTATAGTGGTGTGCTTCTAAATACTCATAACTTTCTTATTGGTTGTCCACATTCATCCAAACCTTCTCCAATCGGCTTCTCCAATTTGGCTGCTTTGTCAGGGTAGTTTGCTATTAAGTTCAGATTTTTCTTTAACGCCACACCCCCACAAAAAAATTGATTTCAGTATCTACATGTATAGAGTGGTGAAGTGTGACGTCATCAAATATCTTTTTTTGGAATTTCTCAATTTTTTCGTTATTTTCCGAAAGAGCATCAAAATTAATGTCCGAATGCCGAAAACTAATTGAATATGTTAAGTAATGGCCGAGATATGACCATCTGAATAAAAAAATGTCCTATAGGAACTCAGTGTTATATTGCTCTGGTTCATAACATTACGAGCCAGAGCAATATAACACTGACTTCCTATAGGACATCTATTTATGAAGATGGTCATATCTCAGCCAATACTTAACATACAGTATTCAATTGGTTTTCGACATTCAGACATTATTTTTGATGCTCTTTTGGAAAATGAAGAAAAAAATTAAAAATTCTAAAATTAAATTTTTATGATGTCACAGCTTCGGTCCTCTATTAACAGAATATCATCTCCCCTGACTGTCTCTCTGCATGAGCAAATACAGTAAAAATACTAGATATATTTAATTCATTAGTACCAAGCTGAATTCAACATCACACTGATCCGTCCAAGTCTTGTACTAGTATGTCTTCAATTCCATATCATTCAGCGAGTTAAAACTTCTCAGAAATGATATTGATAAAACTAGAGTTTTCTAATCTTCCACAAATTGATAGTTAAGTTTGGGTTCTATTATCATCACTCCACAATTTGTTAAAAAATTATGAGTGAACTTCAATTATAATCATGGAATATTGATTCTACAATGAAGCAAACTATGTCCTGTCCTCTAACAGGCAAATTCTAAAAAATGTTTTAAATTGTCCTTCTAAAAAAAAGGAAAACAAACTAAACTTACTGACTGAAGCTAAATGAATACATGACTGCTGGCTTAAAAAAAAAAAATATTGTGTGGCTTTATCTAGAGCTGCCCTAGCCCTACAAACAGTAGATCCTCTCTCTATAAGAGCTGGATGCAGACTGCCTAGTATACTAACTCAATCAGCCTAGCTAGCTCAGTACATACACATGTACATGTATTAGAAGACAAACAGCTGGGTGCATGCCTGACATTGCAGTTTCTATAGATTTGAAATCTGACTAAATTAAAGAGAATTGAGTCTAATTAACATAATACTACTAGTTGCCCTCATATAGGCTAAACAATCACATTCCTGAAATGCCTACATGATTGAAATCAGAATAAATTAAAGAGAATTGGCCGGCCATTTTGTGTAATGTACCAGATTTCTGCATATAATTATCTTTGTGAAGCGCCTCATACAAATTAATTCAGTCACCTGTTATGAGTAAAATGTGTCTAAATAGTCAGAATTCAAATTGCATACATTAGTTGTTGCTAGGTAGGACAAACATTATGACTTGCCCTACCTAACAACTCTTGATATATGTAATGTGCATTCTGACTACGGTATTGAAATACGATTTTTCATAACAGGTGAATGAAATAATTCATATTTGAGGCACTTATAAATTTGTTATATTTAAAAAATGGCCAATAAACCGGTTTAGTATTAGCATGATACATATTCAGACAAATTTTATGCAAATTTCTAAACAAAGGTTGTTCTTGATAACCTGGAGGCATGTCCGAAATAGCAACATAATATGCAGACTGGATTCCAAGTATTGTAGTTCATTCTTTAATAACAGGTTAATGGAATACCTCATCAGGAAAGAAAAAAAAATCATAAATTTGAATTTGTTAGTAAACCGGTCTGCTGACAGCTCTCTGAAAACTCAAAATCTAATGCTTTGAAAATTGGCAGTTGTTGACCCAACAACGACTTTGCATCAATTAGGTACAGCTCATCACCTCATAGTGCGGTAGGGTATGCAATCCCGTAGGAGTTTTGTGCCACAGTTAATTTATTTTGCTGTTTTGGCTTCAAAAGGGTCCCAATTGGCCAAAAATGATGGGGTTCAAATTTTCAGACCCCTCCTTCATTTCCTGGGGGGTCCCTATTGGGCGCCAAAATGGCTTATATACCGCGCAATAGGGAAATTTGGTGTCTTCAGGAAAATTTGAACCCCATCAATTTCTGATAGCTTGGACCCCAATAAATCCAAAAATGCAAAAAAAAAAAAAAAAATCAACTTTGGCACAAAAATCGTACGGAAGCTGTTTCAGTGACATACCATACCACACTATCAGCTATAAAATACTTAATGGTTCTGTAAAAATTCTTTAATGATGATTTCACGACAGTATATTCGATTAATCAGGTCCCAAACTCAATAACATTGATCACCGACGTTATTTGAAATACTGTTGAAGGTCAAGTATTGTTTAATGGAAAAACTCAATATTGAACTTCCCCTTTTTGAATTTCATCATAATTTGGTTTAATTTACAGATCTATTGTGCCCTCTTTGTAACCTTAAACTTCCCCATACCTTCACAGAATGGAGAACTCCACCAGAAGGCTTGAACGAGTTGAGAAGCACAAAGAGGTCGCTAGCCGTTACACAGTCCCAGTCGATGTTACACACGGCTAATCTGCTACTAGTGGCCTCTTCCCTTGGGGCTTCAGCATCCAATTCCCCCCAGTTGTGGCAGATCTCGTCCATGACAGGTCCCTGTGTAGCGGTAGCGGGTGCCTCATCTTCAGAGTCGGAGTCAGAAGAACTCGTCTCAACATTTCCTTCACCTCGGGCTAGGTCGATGCCTCTCTGCTTCTGTTTCTGCCATGAGAGCTTAGACTTCGAGTCGGAATCAGAGTCGGAATCAGAGTCTGGTTCTACATCACGTCCTGGGACATCAAGATCATATGGACAATAGTTTTTGCAAAAATGAAAACTCTCAAGAATAGCAGAAATGCAAATATATTCACAACAGTGAGAAATAAGAAATAAGAAATAAGAATCCAAGTAACAGACAATACTAGAACATTCATAATATGACTTTGGAATATTTAAGTGAAATTGACTGGTTTTACTTTTTATGCTTTACAGGCCTTTCTACTAAGACTGTCACAGATGATATACAATTTTCTGTTACAAGATATCTTTTTCCACCGCAGGTCTATAATAATGACTGATAGTACTAACTCTCAAACCAAATTCTCAATAGGTTCTTTCATAGTGCAAACACATGACCAGGGCCCAGTTGCATAAAACTTACTATTGATAGTAACTTTGGATACTAAAATGGATACTACCATGGTAACAGGGCTCAACAGCCAATCAAAATTAAGGTTTCCATGGTAGTTACCATTGATTGCAAAGTTACCATCAATGGTAAGTTTAGAGCGATGGGGCCCAGTACTCAACTATACCTAGTTCATACATTAACACATGATGAGAAATATTTTGTTACATCGTGAGAAGCAGATTGATATACTTACGTTTTCCTTTTGATCTCTTTCCAGGACTCTCATCACTGCCAAGTCCACTTTCCTCTTCCTCATTATCAGTACAGCTTTCCATATCATTATCTTCTTCACTTACATTGTCAGTCAGTGGGAATGTGTTATTGATGCTTTGATTCGCATCTTCAGGGCCATACAGCCTTGCTTTTCTCCTTTTGAAAGCCAAGAGAAGTTCTCGCCCACTCCTTCTTCTTGCCTGCTTTTTCTTTTGTGAAGACTTCCCTGCATCCTGCTTTGAACTTTGACCTCCATCACTGTCCTCCTCTGATACACTTTTGATGGCCTCTTCTTCATCTTCATCCTCTTCCTCGAGTTCGTAAAACTTCTTCAGATTCTCTCCAGAGGTCTGGTTTTCAGGGCGACCTCGTTTGTCCACCGAGTACTTTAGCTTGAAGCGTTTATCGGTGAACATGCCTTGGAAACGCTTATCGATCTTGACCTTCCGCTCTTGTTTTGGAACCTGGCGGAAGCGAGGATCTTTGGCAACAGCTGCAAATCGAGAATCGCTTTTGAAATCCATTCTCAAATTATTTCATGGGACAGCTGGTGAAAGTTGAAGAAGCCTACAAAGCTGTAAGAGGAAAACAGATATGTACAGATAAGTATAGATGTTGACTAGTAGTTACCCCAAAGAATAAGTGTTAATGTTAGTATGCAGAAAGATGAATTCTATTCCTACATATTGATCTACAATATTCCTTACGAAAATAAAGATTTCTTTGGCATGATGTAATATCATTTAGCACGACACGAGTACAGCCATTTTTAAGATGTGACGTACCAGGCGAACTTGTACATATATCATACACAAAGCTCGAGTTGGAGAAACATATTAATTCAATAACAGAACCTATCATTTTCAATGAGATAAAATCACAGCTGAGAATGTGAAAATAATATGGTGAAAATTGAGAAATACATAATAGGAGAAAAGTACTAAAATATACATGTAGCAGTTGACAATTCCAATTCCAAAACCTTCACCCTTGAAGAGCAAAACTTTACTTTTGCCATTTGCGTTCTGAAAATTATGAGTACAAAACATGATAGCAGGTGAATACATTATTTCATCATCTCACACACGTGGCAAGGAGGCATCCATACATTTAAATACCGGTATGTTTACTTGATAAAAGACTTTGCCAAGAAAACGGAGATGAGAACCTTCCCATTACGGTAAGAATACCTTGGTTCATACCTCTTTAATACACTTTGATGGGGAATCTTATAGATAAATAAGCAGGAATATGATAAATCTCTCAGAACATCTAAAGTTATTTCTTGGGATGAGTTTTCCTTTAATGATGGCAATGACATTGTTGACAGCTTTTGGCAAAATAACTGCAGATCCCAATTACTTCATATCCCTTCGTTTTGTTTCACCATTAAGTGCGCAGTCCTCTCAGTAAATTCACTTGGGAGCATAGAGAGAAATTATCTAACAGACAGCAAGCAAGCAAGATCTGTGTTCTGTTATCAAATTTCAATATACACCATGATTCGTACACTTAGGCATTTTCAAACTCTAAATCTTGAAATGAAAAATAAATCAATATTGAATTTCTGAATGTACTACAACTGTGTTTTCAATTCAAATATTTGTACTTTAAAATAGTGCTGTAAGTTAGGCGCCATGTTCGGGTACGGTTTGGTTTGGCAGAGTTCGGCAATTTTTTTACAGAACTTGGTTCGGTTCGGGGTTCGGTAAAACAATAGCAAGCAGCGTTATAGCTACGGTGGCCGGCATTGGGCGGGTCGGGCGGGTCTGACCAGCACGGAGCTCCTTCTGCCCACCACTCCTGATGAAAAACACTGCTTCCGATCGGCACGAATTTCACATAAAAAACTTCTTTAAACGTTACTCTTTGTGAAGAAAAGTAGTACTTACATTCATATTTCCGTCTTTAATCATGTTTTATTTGCAATTTTACAAGAATAATTTTTTCAATTCGACAATAAATGATGTTTTTTATGAGATTTGCCGAGACGGTCGTTGTCTAATGTTACGATTATTGGAAGCTGCCATATTGAATTTAGTTTAAAGGTTTATTTTTAATAAGGTAAATAACAAAGTTCCTAATTATCCCGAATAAATAAATTAAAATCCTATATTTCATACATTTATTTAATTATTTATATTGTAAAATTTGTTCGATATTGTTACAATTAAAATATAAATTGTTTTATTGATTGGGTTTGAGCTGAACTTGTTTTGATCAGCGCCTAGTAAACACCTGTATTTTTATAGTTTGCGATCGCCACGTTGCAGAGGTCAGGATTTGGGATTTAAATGTCGTCAGTGAAGTCGCGCCCATCACTTGAGAGGCATAAATCACAAAGATGGAAAATCAGAAAAAAGTAAATATAGAATGAGCAATCATGACATGATAATTAGGTACAAAATGACAAGTTAATTACAGAACATCTGAACCAGGCCTTTGCGTTCGGTTCGGTTCGGCTTGGTTCGGATGTGCCATGTGGGCGAACGTCCGTTTGGTTTGGCGGTACGGCTACAGCTACTTTAAAACCAAAATATCCACTGAGTTTAATTGTAAAAAGTTCATTTCGCAACACCTACATGTACATTAGGTGCCATGATGTGTACAGCATACAAAAGTCAGCATGTACGCAAGCCCCTGAAAAAATTCACAACATTGCTACAGAAGCCTGTGTGTAATCAGGCACACCGTGACCCCCCAAAAATTAACAAACAGGGTGACCCAAACACATATACCTGTCATGTGATGTCAGATGAGTGCTGTCAGATGGCAGATAGGTACTTAACAAGGATTCCAGAAGAGACTGTCTTGCACATCCCAACTTCTCCTCACTATTCAAGAACTTTTCAGTGGACTTGACTCAAGAGACCAGATACATGTAGATGTGATCCTGTTAGACCTATCACAGGCTTTTGACAAGGTCCCACATTAAAAACTATGGAATCCGAGGTAGTACCCATAGCTGGGTTGTGGAATTTCTTACAAGACGCTCACAGAGGGTATTGCTTGATGGATGCACTTCTCACACCTCTCTAGTCCTGTCAGGTGTTCCGCAAGGCAGTGTCGTTGGGCCCCTTCTCTTCCTGCTGTTAAACAACGATCTTCCTAACTGCATATCAGCCAAGTCTACGGTGATATTGTTTGCATATGACTGACAAGTGCAGATGATGCGGAATGCCTGCAGAAGGACTTTGATGCACTCCAAGAATGGGAAGCAGACTGGCTACCGGTAATGCAATTCCACCCTAAAAAAATGCCTGGTTATGCATGTCTCTAGTAAAAGGCAGACATTCAAAGCGTCTTTTCCTAACTACATTCATGGAGAACAGCTACAGGTAACTGAAACTGCAAAGTACTTTGGGGTCAACATTCAGAGCAACTTGAAATGGAATCACCATGTACATGTCACTACCAGAAAAGCCAACTTCCTGCAAAGAAACATAAGGGCCTGACCACCAAAGAAAACAGAGTTGTTGTACGCCCTGTGATGGAGTAAGCTGCAATACTGTGGGACCGGTCCACCCAGGAAAACATCAGAAAGGTGGAAATGCTGCAATGCCGTTGTGCACACTCCCTCCAGTGTGACTATCATTGCACAAGCAGCATCACAACCATGCTGAATCAACTTCAATGAGCAAGTCTGGAGGAAAGAAGGGCGCAGCAGAAAGTATGCATGGTTTAAAGCATACTCCATGGCCTGGTTGATCTTCCAGGTCCCCTTTGCTCAAACTCTGCTACTCCAAACCACATATTACCCAGATGCTATCCAACTGTGCAACTCCTTACCACCAGCTGTCGTCAATCACACCTCTTTGGAGCTTTTCAAGCAGAAGGTGCAACACATTAAGCTCCGTTAAGCTTCAGACTGATTTCTTAGCTGCACATAGAGTTCTTGTAGAGCCTTTTACACTTGACAAGTACAAGGTATGATAATATGCCAATGGCGGTCTGTACTATACTGGAAGAAGAAGAAGTGCCTGCATACTTGCATAGGTATCGTGGCTTGCAATGACTAAAAAAAACTTGGTACAAAACCTCATATTGGAGTTTTAGTTCATGTTTTCTTACAACCAGGCGTAACTGCCCACAGGCTTTCAGATTTTCATGTGGATATTGAATTTTGGCTGCAGAGTTAAGGTTTTTAGGTTGATTTTTTTGAAATTCAACTTCAAGACTAGAGTAAAGCGCTTCATGAAGTCCCACTCCAAACGTCAGTCTCAAGTCATAGCCAACATAATTCATAAATATTGAGAACTTTACTTCAGTCTAGAATTTGAATGGCTTCATTTTTTTGATGATTTTAAAGAAGGAAAAAACTCGAATAAAAATCATTGAATCACATCAGACTCCTTCCCATGAGCGCGAGAGGTATCCAGATATGATGTCTTTGCTACCTCTGCTGGTGGATCCCAAGCTGGAGCAGGGCAACAATACTTGCCTTCACGGTTGTTTCATCGCAAAGCATCACGGGACATCTGCTTAGTTTGCAAGTAGATTTTCACCTTCATGATCATCTGTTTCATTGCTAACAACGGTATTTTTCTCCTGTCGAATCAACATCACATTGTTGTGCAGGATCCATTAATTTGCAGTGATTCTCTTTCATTCTAGTGTCATTTGTAACGCTATAAACCATGAAGATCCTTCAAAAAATAAAGCTGATAATACGATGTAAAGTGAGCAAATGAGAGTTGGTCCCCTTAGTATGAGTTTGTAGTCCCATATGTTCAAATGTGTGTATGTGTGTGTGTGTGTGTGTGCATTTTGCCTTTTCCAGCTGCTAAACACTTGTGTTTTAGGTAGAAATTAATGAAATGTACAATAAAATTAGACTTGTGTGTCAGTGTATATGAAAATATACATAATAGATAATGAAAATATGAAATACTAGAATGGCCGACAGTTAATGACTGCAAAAATGTATGTGTGTGTTAGTGTGCAATGTATTGTTACTTTTCCAGTTTTTTTTTGTTTCCTTTTATTCAAGAAAACTAGTATCATATACATGTATTAAAATCATATGAGAACTAAGCATGTTTTTCCTTACCATGTTTACCTACTAATTTTTTGAGCATCTCAACTTCGTCTTCTAATGATCGGATGATTGTTGCAGCTTCTTTACAATGGCATGATACAGCACATTTACATGGCATTATATAATCGTGTCCACTTTCGGCGAGAAAATCTATCACTTTTAACGCAACGGATGGCTCAGCTGAATCAGCTCTTACAGCGTTTGGGGCAGGTCTCGCAGGCACAAGGTTCGGTACTGTTCGCTTTATTGTCCTTCTAGATGTGGGTGGAGGAACATCATATGATATTATATAATCATGTCCATTTTCGGCGAGAAAGTCTATCATTTTTAACGCAACAGATGGCTCAGCTGAATCAGCTCTTACAGCCTTTGGGGCAGGTCTCGCAGGCACAAGGTCTGGTACTGTTCGCTTTATTGTCCTTCTAGATGTGGGTGGAGGAACATCATATCCGAGATGCAAAGTAGGGACACGACTTGCAGAAGGGGTAAGATCAACAAAATGTATCGAACAAACCCTGCTGAAGTGCTTAGGAATCCATGGCTTCTTGGTTGAAGGATCTACACGCCTCATTTGACGGATCCATTCTCCACGCAGTTGTGAAAATTTATTTGTTGGGAACGGAATAAATCTGTAAGGAGGTTTGCAGGTGCACAGTTCCTCTTTACGGGTGCATTTGTGTACGTCACAAGTTCCTGAATTCCATTTGAGCAAACCTCGACTTGAGTTTTTACAGTCAACCACTGCACAGGTAAATGAAGGCATCTCCGGCCTGTTTCTTGGACAGCTGCAATTAAATGAATTAGGAATTAAAAAAGATTGAAAATGGTACCAGGGAATAAGAGATGCAAAATACTTTAAAATTTGTGTAGCTTATACCCTAGTCAACCCTACTAGTCATAGAATTACTTGTAAAATACAATCGTGAGTATTTCATTTCGTGAATCTGTTTTTAAGATCAGTATCCCCAGACAATTTTCATTTAATAGTTCATATATATACACCCTTATATTATTCTTATATAACTATCAAGAATAACATGCTAGGAAAGTTTTGACCGATTTTTTAAGCTTCAACAAAATATAAAAATGACAAAAATCCAACATTCCAAACGTTAAAACACATGTTTTTAACTATTTAGTTTAACGCTTTGGAGAAAGAATCTCAAAATTAGTATGGGTCTGTAAACTAGAGAATATACTTTTGACCAAGGCTTGCCTGTCGTACCAGATTACCCATCCCTTCAAGGATTTTACAAACAATGGGGAAATAAATGCATAGGTCTACAATCAGTTTATTTAAGTGGAAAAGGCCTTATATATATAAAGTATAAACATGATCTTGGCAAAAGAGCCTTTCGCGAAACACGTAGCGGACAAGTAGCTTACTAACGCTAATTTAGTCAAGAAGTTGGACTTATGACTGTTTCGAGAAACAGGCTCCAGATTCACCAGTCATGAAATGAAATACTCACAATTATATTATATAAGTAATTCTGTGGTAAAAGGGAGGCCGTACCTGCCTACGATAAATGTCACTTCTAAAAACTAGAAAATATAAACAAAAAAGATGACATCTTTTTAATCACAGATTTTTACGAAATGGACATTAAAATATATTCAAAAGGCGAATTTTATGTCAATTTAGAGTTGGTTAGAGCCCCATACATTGTAGCTACAGCCATTTGAAAATGAGAGGGAAAACTGCCAAGCCAAGACATAATGAAAAAAATTTGATAACGCCATCAAAATGATTCCATGACATTTGCTCCGGCGACAATTGCTCCGCTGTAAATTTCATACACTAATCGAATGGCTAACTTCAACCCTGGATTCAACACTATACCCTACCCTAAACCTAACCCTAAACCTAACATAAAACCCTATTGAAACCCTAACCCTAACCCTAACCCTACATCTTAGACGAAATAAAGCCCGGAGCAATTGTCGAAGGAGCAAATGTCGTGTCACCCATCAAAATATGAATATGTATGAGCTGCAAACGAGAACACGCAGCAGCTTCAGGTAGCGAAATCTCACACCTAGTCCCTTATTCTCACAGCACTAGCTATCGACTTAACGAGGTGAAAAATCGATGGAATTTCACTTTTCCAGCGGAAAGTAGAAACCAAAATTGCAGTTGTAAGAAGCTGCATGTGGGAAATATGTACGCAAGTAAGTTTGCTGATTGACCGCATTAGTTTTTTGTTAACATGATATCAATCCACCTTTGTCAAAACCAATGCAGCCAGCTCACAGCCAAAAATTGAGCACACCTAGAGCGTACATAAACCCAAGGACCAGTGAAAAAAATACACGGGGGCTCGGGGCGAATTAGCCCCCGAAATGCCTAAAAGAGCCCCAGTAAATTTGCATAGAGTTCAATGCAAAACAAATTTTAGAATGTTATTTTCATGCAGGCAAGGTTGAAAAGTAGCCCCCGAAAATAAATATTAATTTTTTCCCTGCCAAGGACATGTGCAAGCGCGCCCACTAGTGCCGAACGCTCACTAAGTACTACTACTATGGTATATAAACTACACAAATTCAAAGTACTGCATCTCTTATTCCCTGGTACCATTTTCAATCATTTTATTCCTGATTCATTTAAATAATTGCAATTTTCCTAAAATTACTTTTCGTCTAATCCAGTGCAATTGCGAACTAAAGGAGTAAGGCTATGTCTTGACCTTGGCTCCTCTTCTCGCCGATAGTTTCAATTTCACGAGATGTCCAGCTAGTAAGCTCTTCGTGAAACGGTTCAGGAAGATCAGAGACATCTTTGTAGCATGTAGAACTTGTTGTATTTTAGTGTAGGTCCCTATCCATTTTTATAGCAGTTTAATAATTGTTTACTAATTTTAATCATAGACTAATCACATATTGCATTTTCCACCTAAATTTGGATCACATCCGACATCAGGAAACCTTCGTTTAGGGCTTTGATGTCGACGTCGTCGCTCAGTACCGTCTCTAAGCTATAGTCCTGCACCTCAAACTGAAGCTATCAGTACAAAATTATGCAGACTTCTCATATGGTTTATGGTATCGCGCGTACAAGAAGTCTGCATAATTTTGGACTGATAGCTTCAGTTTGAGGTGCAATATATGATTATGATTAAAATTAGTAAACAATTGGGCTAAAATTTCTTTGCTAAGAATGGATATTAAACTGCTAAAAAAAATGGATACGGAACTACACTAGCGCCGGATCATCTTCGTAAACACGGACCGATGTATCCTCAACAAAAAACGATCCTTATTCTTGGAGTTTTTGGACCAGCGCTAGACTACTTAGTGTTGTAAGCTCTTTGTGCAACGGTTTAGGAAGATCAGAGACATCTCTGTAGTTGGTGGTTAAAGTTATGACCGTCTTGTCGTTGGTTTCGAGGAACGGGCCCCAGCACCGCAACCACTGTAGCCTCTAGATGGCATAGGGATCGGTAGCACACGGGCCACCGGCCCTGGCCGCGGCGCGATGATCTATTCATTACCGTACGTACACATGCATGCATGATCTGATCTTACCTTACCTTACCATACCACTGCACTGGCACTAATGTGGGCCGTGGGAAGGGCGCTCCGTGTGGCGCAGCGCGATTAATATCCGATAATTCTTATTTCCAAAGTGACCAAGTTCATTCATATATGTTTAAGGAATGAATACGAAACGTTCTGTCTTCTGAGTGATAAAAAAAGGTGCAAAAGATATTTATTAATATTATGTCACTCACCTACACGACGCAGCAGCAACCCAAAACACATGGGTTAAATCTATGGTGGAACATTTGACAAACAAGAAAAAGAAAAATTGAATGTCGGTACGGTGCGTGAGACATGTTGGAAGGAGCTGGGACTGCGTTGCTTTTCAAGTGGCGACCACAATTTTGCTTTATTTTCTTCTTCTATTTCGTTTGGTGCATGGCTGCTAATACTTACCTTTGACTATTGTTGCCAATTTTGTCGCATCTGCATTTTCCTCTAATTCTCTTGGTTGAATTACTTTTGTTTTAATCTCATGTTAATAGTCTGTCTACCTATTTTTATGTAATAAAATAGAATAATACAGTAAGGCAAATCACGATCCGCACACAGTGCCGACCCATGCTGGCCCTGTCCTCTCTGGCCTTCTACGATGGCGTCGTACCCAGGTCACTCTGGCAGAGACAATGGTGCGTCGTCCTGTATTATAGCCCCCCCCCCCCCCCCGCCCCCCCATTCAGTATTTAGGGTACGCGTTTGCCGGCGTGTTTGCTTGTTCGCTCCCTTTGAAAGCACCCCCTATCTCAGGACTGCCAACATTTCTACCCCCCCCCCCCCCTTTCACGGACTTTTCCTGCCTTGGAGACATCCCTAAATCCGGAACACTGCTCAATTAATGTCTAAAGAGACCCTGCTTCGCCATATTTACGACATCGTCTGCTCCCTAGATTTCCAGACCAACACAATCGCCATGAAATATTAAGCTATAGTATAGGTAGCAGCTCTGAAGGTGGATAAGGGATAAATTTCTGGACAAAAAATACAAGTAGGCCTACGACAGGAAAAACGATGTGATATGCAGATCGTAATAGGCACCAATATATTTTACAAGGGTGGTGAGTGGCAAATGTAGCTAAATGCCTTGCCAGAGGACTTTAGTGCCGTTGCAGGGATTTGAACCCCGCACAACGAGCTTCGTAGTGCATGTTTTATATTTTTCATGACAAATATAGGCCGCCTACAAACTGAAAGTAACACGTAATATGAGATTAATTCCCTTTTAAAACGAAAAGAGAAATTGCAATTTGTAAACGAGAGTCACTTTTTTGTAAACGCTCACGTCCCCTTTCTTGGAAATATTAACTTATATTATATCTCACCGCTTCTATTGTTGGACAGATGTCACAGAAACATGTGGCCCCCGCCCCCCCCCCCCCCACTCAGTGTTATTTAGGGAACGCATATGCGTGTTCCAAGCGACCCCCCTTTTCAGCAAAAGTCCGGTGTGTAAAGTCAATACGGGTCGACCTTTTTCTTTTGTTACGAAAAGGACATTTTGGTAACACGCATGGGGTCCGTCCGTTCTCGGAGTGGGGGGTGGGGGGGGGGGAGGGGCGGGGGGGGGGGGGGGTGGATGCCTAAAGTAAGCGGTCATTGTTGAGTCCAGACACTCCCGGGCGTAGTAAGAATAAGAATAAGAATATTTCACTTTTTCTTCCCAATTTACAAGAATATTGTGAGATAACGTTTGGCTAAAGGATTTAATGCCGATTGGGTATCAATCCACCTTTCTTGCCAAGTTAGCTTTAAACTGTACAAAATTAAACTTGTCTTTCCAAACAACGTCAATTCGTTATGCATTTTAATTTTCTGAGTTTAGAAGCTTTTTTTTTTTTTTTTTGCATAGAAATCTGCCTTTCCCACTGTATCCAAGTGTCCTCAAATCCATTTCCAGAGAGATTTCAATCCCTTTATATTTTAATCGGGTCGTTATTGTAAATATTTCTGTGACAAAAGATTCGTCATTGAAATGTTACAAGGCCGTGAAGGCACTTATAGAGTCATTAAAAATGACTTCACCTGTATAGATATTGTTTCTTCGATCCATTGAAGGGTAAGAACAGAGGCGGCGCTCCGGGGGGGGGGGGGCAGGGGGCAGTGCCCCCACTTTCTAGGTACCCCAAAGTGCCCCTTTTAACATTGGACAATAAGGTGCCCCCTTTCCTTTGTAAGAACTGCCCCTTCCCTTCTAATAAGTGCCTCTTTTCATTAAGTGCACCCCCGATTTTTTTTCTTCATATGATCCTAATCACTTTCTCATAAATGTCCATTTTCACATTTGATAATTAGTGCCCCTTCACTTCTGATAATTGCCCCTATTCAAATCTGACAGGTAGCCTACACGTTTTACTTTGACAAGTGCCCCTTTTTCCTTTTTAATAATTGCCCCCTTCCCCTTCTGATAAGGTTCCTTTTCTTCTTTGATGAGAGCCCCTATTCAACTCTGATAAGTGCCACTTTTATTTTGACACGTGCCTCTTTTCTTTTCTAAAAAGTGCCCTTTATCTTTCTGATAAGTGCCCTTTTCCATAGGCGCCGGAAGTGGGGGGGGGGGGGGCAGGGGGCAGTTGCTCCCCAATCAAAAAAGTGGGGAGGCAAAACGCATTTTTGCCCCCCCCCCAAAAAAAAAAAAAAAGGAGTAAAGGAGTAAAGTTGGTTTGTATTTTTTAACCCAAAAGAACATAACAATAATAATAAACCTGAATTAAATGACGTATACAATTCCATTAAAAGAAAAGGAAAGTTAACAGGAATTAAATTCCCTAAACATTGCGCATGCTACCCATATTTATGTATGGAAGTTTATATCATAGCGATACGCGCATATCGTGGACGTATTGTGAGAGAATGGGAAAGCGTGTCTGCTTTTGTTATAGGGGTGAGAAACTCATGAGCCCCTGAACGCTCGCGCACTGATGGGGGGGGGGGTTATTTTTTATTCGATACAAGTGATTTACAAATGTTGCTGAAATTACATGATTTTCCGGTACTTTTTTTTTCTCTATTTTTTTGTAAGTCATACCTTTTTATGCATTTGTAGGAAAATTAGAATTCCCAAATTTACAGTCGGGCGAAAAATATGCTTATTTGGAAACCTTTATGTCAGGGTTTACAGAACGGCTGGGCTCGGGGGCTCGAACCCCCTCACTTTTTGAAAAAGTTTGTTACAGAGAAAAAGAAAGAAAGAGAGAGAGAAAAAATAAGTGACCTGCCAATGTCACAAATGAGGTATCAAAATATGCTCATCTGACCGTAATTAAATGCCTAAAACACAAGAGCTTACGGGGGCTCCGCCCCAGACCCCACCAAGGGCCCTAAGGCAGTTCCCTGTATGCTCATCTGACCGTTATTAAATACTTAAAACCCCTGAGCTTCCGGGGGCTGTGCTTGCTGGACCACACCAAGGGCCCTAATTAAGGCGGGGCTCTGGATGCTCATCTGAACGTTATTAAAAACCTAAAACCCCTGAGCTTCCGGGGCTCTGCCCCCTGGACCCCACCAAGGGCCCTAAGGCGGGGCTCTGGATGCTCATCTGACCGTTATTGAATACCTAAAAAACCCGAGCTTCTGGGGTCTCTGCTCCCTGGACTCTTCGCCAATTAGCGGCCTGCCAGTGTCACAAATAAGGTATTTAAATATGCTTCTCTGACCATAATTTTAATGCCTAAAACCACTGAGCTTCTGGGGTCTCAGCCCCTTGACCCCCTGCCGGGCCAGGCCCTGAGCCCCACGCCAATTTACGCCCTACCTGATCGTTAATAATCCACTTTGAAAATCGTTCCGCGGGGCCTTCATGTAACGTGTAAGAATGGTGGTGATGCAGATTTTTCTTCTGCCCCACCCTTCCAAACGTTTTTGCTCGTTACGTCACTGCCCCTGGAAGATGAGCCCCCTGGAATGCTGCCCCCCCCCCAATCCCAAACTGCTTCCGGCCCGCCTGCCCCTTTCCCTTCTCATAATTGCCCCCTTTTTATCTCTGGTGCTTGCCTCTTTTCAGTTGCGAAAAATTCCCCTGTTCATATGTATTTATAGGCAGGTTATTTTTTTGATTCATATTTGGTTGTTGATTGCATGAACTATTGATTTTAACGTGCACTCAAAACTCATGACGTACATATATACAAATTATGGCCAATATGTATCAATAATTTTCACTGCGATAATTGACTCCCATATGCACTTTTAAAAGTATGCCTATATGACTCAATAAGGCAAGGTCATGGTTATTTATTGCCTTACAAACCATCTAATCATTTTATATATAAAAAGTGGTATACCCTATAACACTTTTTAAATCGTGCATTATTGTCTTGGCAGTAAATGTTTTGAGAAGGGCAAAACATTTAGCTTTGTACCTGACAAAGTTAACCTATTACCTCTGGCAAATGGGTGGCTCCTATAACAAATCAGGTGGGAATGAGAGACTTCACTATTCAGTGGGTTAAAATAGTTTTCAGCCTTTACTGGCTTGAAAATCAAGCACAGCCTTAAAAAGGCAGACGACTGAGTAAACACGAATGCGAGCCTTTTCTCTATTCACCTCACGCCCCGGTGACTCTAGTTTAGGACGCTTAGCAACGCTCTATTATCATGCTAATTATCATGGAACAAAAAAAAAAAACCAATGCGTGTGCTGTGTATACGTGATTGTCCATGTAAAATGTGTTGTATTGACGTTTGACGGCCTGTTTATTATACTTTTTATCATATCGTTTGGAAGGGACATAATTACAAACTGTTCGTTCATGGGACAAAATCATATCGACTTTTAGATACACGTTGAGATAGGATACATCTCTTTCTTCAGAGGATAAACAAATCGGAAACATGATAGTGTAGCGAGGTAAGTGGATACTCGATTGGCATATTGGAACAGACATATTATAAAGCGTTTCAACATATTCTGCGGAATATATAGTCCATTCTTGTATGCTGTACAATGTTTGTATAAAGCACACCCAATGGATGTTCCTTAGTGTGTATTTAAAGTCAATATTGTCCGTTTTCTGGAAAATGATAAGTCGCATAAATGTATTTAATAGTGATATAGTTTAAGATTAAAAAACGTGGGGAAAACAAAATAGTCAACATCACGATGTTAGTGCATGCGATGCATGAAAGGCAGCTATATCTTTTTAGTATTTGCTCCTTTATCCTTTAAATGCACTGACCTTTTGTGCAAATACAGGACTTAGAAGGCTATTGTTAAGTACATATTGTTAATATCAATTAATACAAAATCAGGTTTATGGTTCTGAACGTGAGAAGGTTCGGTGAAATCATATTCAATCTGAAACGCAACTCAAAGTCACAATTCACAAAACACCAGTGGACGCCAAGATGTTTGCAACATTGTTATTGAGTAAAGAGTTACTAGCATAACTCTTGGTTTGAGTGGGTTTGTTGTTTGCTCGCAATCGGTTATCTTTTGTATAATGCTGGGGTGTGTGCAAAGGCCACTCAAACTTGTAACTTGGCCAATGACGATAAAAGGAGATCAAAGGTTACACTATACTTTGCCATGAAGACTGGAACATAAGATGATTGACAGCCCGGTATAGCTTCCAAGGAACCGCGATTGGGATTACTGCAACTGTTAACAAGTAATAATAATAAATAAGGTGGCTTCTTATACAGCGCACTTGTCCGTCACGTCGTGACGCTCCTGGCGCTGCCCCGATTAAGTAGGATTGACTTGGTGATCCAGAAACCAGAAACTCGTCTTGCTAACAACATTCGATCACAATCATGCTCATAAAGAGGAACAAAAATTAAAAGCTACTTTGCTAATAGACATGATTGTAAAGAGATATATACTATCAGTGCCAGTTTCCCCTATGTAATTGATTGTTTATATATAAATATATATATAAAACATTATATGTATTCTTCTTCATCTTCTTCATATTATTGTAATATAATTATATATATATATATATTTTTTTTGGGGGGGGGGGTATTTAAATTATTTTTAGTAAAACATTTATTTTGTTCGATACATACGTCATTAGTCACACCTTAGAGTTTAGTATATCTGGTAATTGAATTTATTCGGAAAGAAAGCATCTGTCATCAGAGCTTGGATCAGATCATAATATGTACATGATGTCAAATAATTAATACTGCCAAACTCTGCTCATTGTAATAATACTATGATACTATTTGGTAACGTACGGGACTAAGTGGGCTACTTCATTGGACTTGCTCATAGTAAATGAAGGTCCAGGCGTACTATGGCAAGCAGGTTTTCAACTATGTGGTACAGATAAAACTTCAAAAATGAACAGATGAAATATGAAATAAAGGCAATATCCCTTATTGATTGACGTGAAGTGCAAATTTGAGATATTTAGTTTAGACGTAATCGTTACATAACATGAAGAGAAATGGGGGAGACAGCGCTTACGACAAGCTTTATCACGATCTTGCATCTTCCTGCATGAATACTAAATATTTTCCTTTTCATCCAAGTCAATTTTGATTCCTCGTTTTTTTTTGTACTGGAATCATTGTCTTTCATATCCAAAAGCCAAAGTAAAAATCGTGTGATATCATAATCACAAAATTCGAAAGGCATATCAATCGAGAGGGGGAGGGGGGCAGTTGCCGCGAACAATGATATGTGATTTATCTATACCATTCATGGAAGTAAAACATCTGATTAATAAATGGGCTGTTACCCCCTTTACATTAATCATGCATGGGTACATTGACATCCGTTCATTGCCGTTATGACACAATGTAGCTATCCAGATTGTCCACATTGTTACTCCAATTGATACCAAATGTATTTCGAATTATTGCAGGTCTCCGAGATGACGTCAGCGACCTCGCATGTCATCCCAGTTTTGAAGCAGTTCTCTTCTGGCACTCTGATGTTTCGGCGAGAAATTTGAACGCTCTTTTTGAAACTGCATGTACTAGAAGGATGGGGAATCCTACAGAAACTGCAGTCAATGATCAAAGGATAGATAACTCTTTTGCAGGACCTGTGTCATCACAAGGCATAAAGTATGACACGGACAATGCGCCTAGAACGACACAGGCAGGAGATGACGCTGAACAAATAGATTCTGGTCACGATAGAAACAACGGTCAACATCGTAAAAAGAAACGGCATCGTCATCGACATCACAGTCATACTGAAGTCGCAACTAACTCTGATCATGGAGCCACCAGTGGAGGGCATGACGGCGATAACGAAACCGGGGAAGACAGCTCTGAAAATTGTGAAAATATCGTTGTTTCGTCTTCCATAAAGAAGAAACGATCCAGAGGGTCTTCCCGACATCACAAACATTCATCCAAAGACGTTGTTTCGGGAGAAGACTCGGGACTGAGCCTGGGTAACTCTTTGAACGAATCGACAGTCGCAGGAGATATTTCTCTAGTTACCCCGAATGAGCACGATACTGAAAACGGATCAGAAGTAATCACTCAAATTGCAGAATGTCATAATGATATCAGAACTCAAAATGCTGGTGATGTTCCCGAAGAGGAAAGCCGAAGTGACCCAATGAAACAAGCGGTTGATAATGATGACAAGGAAGAAGTGATGGAGGTTTTAATTCCCAACTCGAATAACGGCGATCAGGCGAATACCAATTCGAATGTGCCAACGAACAAAGAAGGCCATGTCACTCATCACGGACACCTTACAAACAGCAACGAGCAGAAAGACACAAGTGAAAGCAAGAAGACAGATCGCATGCATCGGCGACTGGAGAGACAGAAATCTCAGTACAGGATTGAAAAGGAGATGCTAAAGAAACGACTAGATGGAACCAGGACAAAGTTCCAAGAAGAGGTAGATACAATAATGATCCAAACGTAATAATTTCTTTAAACTACTCATAACCTCTTTTTTTGGTGGAGATACAGCAGTATCGGTTCTTATCGGATGCATTTCGAGGGGGAGGGTCAAAGAATCTTTTTCTGAATTATAACTATGATCACGTCTTCTGACATGTAACAAAAAATACAGACACAATACCAAATAACAACGTTGAAAGATAGGTAACTAAATGGTTTTGTTTTCTATGGCTCCTGAGAGTATGCACTGTAGATCTATATATTAAATTTGATCAATTACATCTCAATATTATTTGTTATGTATCATGTTAATTTTGACGAGTACGCATTCTCTCATCATGAACAAAATAATGCTGTTATTATTGTTTATCTCACAACATTTTGTTCTTCTTTTAGATTACGAAATACGAGCAGGATCTGAGCAATCACCGGAAGGAGTATTTGGAACAGTTGAGTTCTCTGCAGTTTCAGGAACAGTACGAGAGTCTCAGTCTCCGTATCAATGACCTGGGACAGCTCGAAGAGGATCTCGACAAGCGTTTCAAAGACTGCATCGAGCAACAAACAGACGTGAGCCTGATTGTTTGTTGTTTCCCCCCTAAAGATGCACTCTGTCAGATGTATATTGTCAATACTAAAACCAACAGGAAGGTTTTATGATGGATCGTTTTGAGGAATAAGACTATTAGTTTCAAATTCGAGTCAATTGAGAGTTGGGGGCAAAATCCCAAAAGCCTTATAGATTTTGTTTTTAAATGAAGATTGATGTGGCTGTTATCGTGCAAACTTCTTATATCTGCACCATCTATTCATTTTAAAGGATAACAGTCTAGATTGGTAAGGCATCCAAGGCAATAAGTCAAGGCTTTTGTCCTCTTTATTAAGGCCTGTGCATCTCTTTGAAAAACGCAAGATATATATATATATATATATATATATATATATATATATAATTAGCAATACATCTATTGAGGGCCAGAAAGGCGTTAGCGTTTTCTTAAATTTTATGAGTTATGCCCTTCTAGCTATGATCAAATGACAGCAATAACGCGAATCAGAATAATGGATTTGAATCAAGTTCATTCAAGAGTATTCTCTTTTCATTTTGTTAATTATTACTTTTATTTTTTGGTGTAATACTTATTCTTCGGAATACTAGATTGATGAAATGGAGAGATTTCTCAACATGCGAGAGGAGCTATGCAAAAGCAAAGAAAGGGACATTACTAAATTAGATGATGTGAGTATAATTAGTATCCAAATCAGACTCTTTGCTACTTCAAGTTCCCCGATGCCGGCACTCTTGGGGTGACCACAGCTCTCCCCACGCATGAACATCTCTCGATCTAGAACAAATCTTCTTCTTCTTCTTACTCTTTGCAGGGCTTCCTCCGCTAATTCTTTTAAACGATTACTCAAAACATATCTGTTTACTTTGTAATTCTGTTTCCGCTGAACTAAAAGTCGCTCCTTACCCTGTATGTTAAACTTAATGTTAAACTTAATGTTAAACTTAAAGTCAGCCAGTTAAGTTAATCATATTGTAATTCTTACTAGATGTTTCCATAGGCTGCATAAGTTAATCACACTGTGCTTTCAATCATTTTATTTAAAATTTGTTCTGTATCTTAGGCTATTTTTTTCCATGTTCCTTAAAATTATATTCATAATTTTGTATTTTATATGCTCTTAGTTTAATGCTTTAGGTTCAATTTTTTAATGTTGTATATAATATTATATTGTACCTTTTTTTAAAATTCATATATGCATAATATAATATAGCGCCATGAGCGTCATGTCTAACGGACCTGGTGCGCTTTATATTAAGAAGCCACCATTATTATCAATCATTGTTTATTTATTCTTATATGCACATGCAAGGTATGCATAATCTGATTGTTTTGATGTTGGTTACTTTCCTATATAGGAGCTTGATTCTTGGCAGAGTGAATTGGACATAAAACGGCGCCAGTTGGAGACTGCCGACACCTCAAGACGAAGGTAATTTCGGCCACTCATTTGTCGCAACTACATATATATTTTAAAAATACCATTGAAGTAAGTTGGTATACATAATGGTATACATAATTATTAAAATAACCCCTCCCCTCCCCCTCTCTCTCTTTCTCTCTATCTCTACCCACCTACCCTCCTAACTATCTTCCTATCTATCACCTATCTATCCCTTTTCTCTCCCCTCTCCTATTTCTCTCTCTACCATCTTTAGCAGTATCATGTTCTAAGTTCTTTCATTTATCTTTTTGTCTCAATCTAATATATGTGTATTATGATTTTTTCCCCTCTTTCTCTGTATATCAAGTCAGTAGTGTAAATCAGTAAACTTACGTACATCAAGCCTAAGTTTTGGTAGGTTCAATTTTCATTTCCGTATTTAATGATTTGCAGAAGAGTCTTTCATTTGATTAACTACTATGAGTCAGGATGATTATTTATTTCCATATTACTAAATAAATGTTAATGTTTTGTAACAATTCTTATGCTTTATCATTTTGTGCCTGGAATGTGAATAAAAGCAACTCATCAATCAAGCAGCCTTGATCTATCATTGACCTTCGAATGTTTATCATCTATACACCATGCCACTGTCGCACGACTATTAGCACATTTTGTGGTACCTAACTGATGTTTCGCGCTCTACTTGGGATCTCCATAGCAACATGACACGTTCATATCAATAATCTACCAAAGTTACTAGTATCCGCTCTCAGGGAATAACAATAAAAACCAATCTATCATCCAAATTAAAATATAAATATAAATATTCATTGTTTTTAGGTAATAAATTATACTGTTTTATCGCTGCTATGAATCAGGATATGGACTGGTATGGCATTACGACATACCAAGGTGTATGCATTCGGCCTCATTGCTATATAAACACACTTCGGCGGAGAAATACGATTATGATACAGAAAGAGAGAGATGGGAGGGGGTGTTGAAAGAGAGGGAGAAAGAAAATACCAGTCCTAGACGATACCGATTTTTTTGTTTTTTTGTTTGTAAAGTATATTCTCGCTTAAAGTTTTCAAGGAGCGGTTGGGGTTGAGGGGTCAACCTATAATTATTTAAAATGAATGGATGAATTATGTATTACCTACAGAACGTTTCCTTTTTGAGGGGAGAGGTTGATAATTGCTCTTCTTCGTGACACAATGCAGATGAACACAAACTGAGAAAGTGGTTGCCACGTGCTGTTAAATACAATGTTTCTACTTCTTTTGAATAGAACTGATTCTTCACTCAACACGAGCTACTCTAAGGCCACCACTGATGAAGAGGACTACATCTTGAAAAAGAATTTACTCAAATGTCAGGCGGACTTGGCAAGATCAGAGGAGGAAAATGCCATTCTGCATAAGCAAGTGTATTCACTGAAGAAACAGGTATGATATATCGTTCCAAGTTTTGGTAATAACGAAATGAATAGAAATAGTGAAATATATAATGATTCAGAGGAATCAATATCGATCAGGACAGTAAAATAATTATAGCGGAAGAGATTGATTTTCAAAGCTGATTTTGATAAAACATCTATTGTTTGAAAAATAATATTTGTATCAGTTGTACTAATGGGTGGATTATCTAAAAATTTAATCTTGTGATGATTCTTATTCTCATACTTACCCCTTCCTCACGTCTAGTATGACTCGGCTCAAATCCAGACACACAACCATGAAAAGAAGATCAAGCAACTCGAGAACCAACTGGTGATTGCCCTAAGTCAACTCGGTAGTCCAAAACAGAACCATCTCAACGAGAATTCCCTGCCTCCTATCAACGGCCACCGTCACAGTGTCGCCTCGTCGTCGACAGACAGCCGCATCGAAGAGATCCAACGGGAAACACGGTTAAGACGCCAGCTGGGCAAGGATCACCTGAGCATTAACCAAGAGGCTGCGCTGAGACGGAAACTCTCGGGGAAGGACAGTGGCATTTCAACGCGCAGCCCTTCCACTAGCAGAATATCCAAAATAACTCTAAAGAGCGTAAAGGATGTCGGTTTGAACGAGGAGTCTGGTGGGAGAAGTCATACGCCGGGGAGCGTAGGCGGCTCTCAGTCGGGGGAGGAGGGGTGTCAACACCCGAGTTTAGCTACTTCAGATGTTGGGACAAGTCCTGGGAAGTCTCAAGCACAGGTTTCTCCGAAGACTGAGAAAAGTTCTGTGTGTGCTGTCATGTGATGTGAAACTGATCGCATCATTGTCATAACTGGGTGGACTGCTGCAACTATACCTCATTGAAAAAAAGAGGAAAAAGGAGAGAGAGAGAGAGATATTGTTGTGAGGGAGTGGATGGAGAGGCTAACAAATAGTATTGTACAATATTGGAGCACCACAGTAGTTGCGCTTTATAAGAAGACATCAATATTAACTTTCAAGAAGCTCAGATACAATGTACTTCCATGTACTCTGTTAAGAATGAAATGGAACGACACAAATGCATATACATTTGAATAGACAATGTCGGTGTCATTTATGTAAAATATTCATTATTCCAGGTGCATATATTACATGGATAGGCTTGTTATGTGATTTTTGTTTCTGCAAGACATTCAGATTTCCATTATACATATATCTCTCAATACAGTCATGTAATACATCCTTCGTGTGAAATACGTGTAATACCGCAACAGGGAGTAGTAAAGATGCAATGAATTTCAGTAATATGTGCTCATACCAAAAAATTATCGAGATTATATATATATATTTATGTTTATTTTCAAAGTTAATTGCACTAGACCATAATCTTCACACTCGACTCCAAATCGAACTTCTTTTGTTTTCACATTTTGAAAAACAATATGTTTCATATTATAGCCTTGCAGACAATCGTTAAATGTATACAATGTAATACACCTTCGGATTATAAATCGTGAGAATACTTTTTAGTCCTTTAATTTGATGATTTCCTATATCTTAAAAGGTGATCTACGTTGTTGATAATGGTCACAGGTTTGAAACAGACGTGTCTGTATGGCCTAAGGTAACAGGTGAACTATTCAATATCAGTCTTCCATTGGCCATGGGTATCGTGGAAAACAAATATATGTTTCCGCTAAATTTTCTAAATATCTTGTTCTTTTAGTAGTTCCTAATAGATAATTTGCAACTGAGTTCCGAACTTACACTAGGGTAAATTCATTAAATGCATTTCTTGGATTTCATTTTTGTTTAAACTTCACGCAAGTAAGATCGCGGCGACGAGATTCTAGTTATTCCCTGGGACCCTTAGGGGCGTATGCCTGTAATTATTCCCCACTGGGCGCAATGTATTAAACATGGAAAAGAAAAAAAAAAGGAAAAAAATCATGAAAACTAGGTGTTACAAATGAAATCAATCAAAACCTGATTCTCGACTAGTTCTGCTATTTTCCTCAAACTCCTGAAAATATGATGGGGGTGTTTTTCACGGTTTTTTTAATTTCTCATTGCAGGGGCTCAAACTTAGACGCCCCAAACGTAATTGGTCGCAGCTATTAGTAGATATGATGTTTCTTGACCAACCGTATAAACTGGGACCATTTCCTGCTTTCCTATGGGACTGATCTTAACCGACAATCCCTCTTTATTAAGCACACATGAAAAAACCTGTTTAAATATGTATTCGTGATTTGATATGATTTTTTTCAACCATTTTCTTTTGTATGGATGGGGATCTTATCATATAGTCCTGCGGCCTTCAACAACTAATTTGTGGAGTGCTTTCATGCCTCTCAAAATCTTTTGAACAAACTTTTAATCTCTATGGTCATTACTCTGATTTTGCACATGGATTCAATGAAAAGTTTTCCAAAATATCTTGCTGACCTATATAGCAAAGATGTTAAATCTCGGCAAAAAATTTAAGTAAAAACGACACCCTGTAATAGTGGTCTTTTTGAACTCATTTAACAGTGTTAATTATCATCAATCAATCTATATTAAAGGTAATACAAAGTTTTGGTACGGGGTCATGAATTTGGTTCAAATAAACATATTGGAAGCATATGCGATCCTACAATAATCAGTAATCGTTGCCGCGGTTGAAATCGATTCTAAAGTGATGAAGTTGTAAATAATAAACTCTTTATGTTGTATAGCTCCCTCTCAAGGTCAAGATAGTAATTTAGCTATCAAACGATATTTCTTGACTAAAATCGACCAATTGGCTATTCCCGTTTGGAAATAATATATCACAACTGCATATTCCGAGATTTTCATGGTCGCTGCTACCATTGTATGGCCGTAGGCGCTATTTGAAATTTATCAAAATTTACCGGGAGCACCAGTAAATGTTGATACCCAATTTTTCTCTAAAGCAGAAGTGTTTTAGGGGCTAAATTTTCTAGTGCTTGCAATACATCCACTGGGGCATCCAAATATATCAAAATTGTAAAGAATCACTGTCCAGCCAATTTTCAAAAATTCCCAAAACTTTGTATTACTTTTAAACAGATGGCAAGACTTTCGGAAATTAACCTAAGGCGAATTCAAAAAGCCTCATCAATCGCCTCTTGATATCCCGCCCCGCCCCGCCCCCCCCCCCCCACTCAATGTTATTTAGGGTACGCGTATGCATGTTCCCTCCTTTTGAAAACACCCCCCTAAGTCCGGTGTGTAAAGTCAATACGGGCCGGATTTTTGTATGCTATACGAGCCGGACTTTGGTGCGTGAAAAGTACCCTTTTACCGGACATTTTGGGAACACGCATGCGGTCCCTCCGACCCCAGAGTGGGGGGGGGGGGACGGGCTTGAAATGTATAAATATTACAATGAAATATTACGATCGTGCTATATTTAGGTCAAATTACCTTCTTTTACACATTCTACCTTGCAATATCAAATGGAAACACAAATGTTACATCAATAACGGAACCAAGCTGTCGTTAGACTTGTGTGATTGTTTCTAAATGATGTAAACGAATATGATAGATATTGAAATAGTATTATTTACATGTACATCGACAGTAATAGTAATGATAGTAATCTAAACTTTTAAATGGTTTGATGATATCCACGCATACAAATACAATGCAATAGTTTTAATAATCTGTCGTATTGATGCATTCAATTAATATATGGAATGATTTATTTCAAGTGCACTTATCACTGTTATCACTGATCGTAAGTTAGTTATTTTTGCTCCCTTTCCTTGTCACTTAATTTCAGCAAAATAACTTGAATATAATTCTGTACATTGATGAAAACAAGTGTAGATAAAACCAAGTGTATACATTATTATCAACTTGTTTACAGGAATATCAATGTGTGTGTTTATATAGCATGTTGATTGTTAAATATTGTATCTACACTTAATTAATCTATGACACTACAGAAAAATATATCTTTGCGACTAAATTGTATCTATCATGAATTTCCTATTTTAATTATTTATACATACTAGTAAAACAAATGATAATAATATTACCTGACTTTAAATACAGTATAAAAACCACACAATTATTATCAAGACGATGGACTTTAACAAAATAGTTGTTTTTTGTTCTTGTTTTTTTTTCCTCAGCATCACCTTTTTTTAATATGAGCGTCTCATGGCACATCTGCAAACAATCTTTTTAGAAGAAGAAAAAATGCCTTGCAATATCTTTGCAATATTAAATGGAAACACAAATCTTATCATATCGATAACAAACCAAGTTATCATAGACTTGTGATGGTTTCTAATTGATCTAAACTAATAAGATAGAAGGTATTATTTACATGTACATCGACAGAAATATCAATGATAGTAACAGTGGCGGATTCAGGGAAAGGGCACAGGGGCACGTGCCCCCCCCCCCGATAAAAAAAGGGGGAAGGTGAAAGGGGGAAAGAAAAAGGGAGAAAAAGAGAAAAAGGAGGAGGAAAGAAAAAGGAGGAGGAAAAGAAAAAAAAGGAAAGAGAGAAAGAATAAGAAAACAGAGAGGAGAGAAAAAGAAAGAGGAAATGAAGAAAGGGAAAGAGAGAGGATAGAAAAGGGGAAAAGGAGGATAATGAGAAGGGGAAAAGGAGGAAAGGGGTATGACATTTTTTTGTTTTTTTTTACCCGGAAAGGGGCGGAGGGGGGGGGCACGCAATTTTGCAGTGTGCATAATATGGGGTCCCTCTTGCCAGGCGTGTAGTCCCCCCCCAAAAAAAAAGCACAAGAAGAACCACACAAAAAAAAAGAGATGGAAAAAGGGGAAAAGAGATACATTTTGTGAGTTAAAGGAGAAAGGAAAACAAAAATGACAGATAGAAGAGAGGTGCGAGAGCATGGGGAGTTGCATTTCTTTTAAAAGAATAGTGGGATAACAGCTAGGGTAGTCGCTAAAGGGAGTCGTTTGCGGTAAAATTGGGCTGCTGTCGGGAAAATGAGGAAAGGGGGAGGGGAGAAATGAGATGCGAAGGGAAAGAAAAGAAAGAAAAGGAGAAAAGGAAAAGAGAGAGAGAGAGAGAGAGAGAGGGGGGGGGTAAGAGCCTGAGAGAAGAGGGGTGGGAGTAAGAGAGAAAGAGGGTGTTGGCTGGAGTCACCACGTCGAGGGGGCAAGAAAGATACGCATAGATAATTATGTTGCTGTGTCGGGTCCGCTGTGTCGGTATTCTTGCTCGATGTAATATATCAATGCAGAAGTTTTAAGTCGGTGAGATGTATTATGTCGGTCTCAAGCAATTTATTTTCCCTACGAACTGTGACTTTTAATCGGGAAAAAAAATTAAAACAAAAATTCAGACAATGATTAAGAGTAGGCACGACGAATCGTCTTATTTCTCTAATAATTTAATGGAACATCAAAGCTTCTGCGATTCGCAAGGGAGGGCGAAAATGAATTCAGACAAGGACACGATATAACGAATCGCCTTCTTTCTTTAATAATTTAATGAAACGTGAAAGCTTCCAGGCTTCGTGCGGAACGGGCGAAAATAAATTCAGACAAAGATTAAGAAACGAAAACAGTACAACGAATCGTCTTCTTTCTCTAATAGTTTAATGAAACGTCAAAGCTTCCGCGCTTCACACCGTCACGTGAGGATGAAACTGAATTCTAACAAGGATTAAGAAATGAAAACAGTACAACGAATCGTCTTCTTGCTTTCTTATAATTTAATGAAACGTGAAAGCTTCCGCGCTTTGCCCGGGAAAGGCGAAACCGAATTCAGACAAGGATTAAGAGTAATAATTAAATGAAACGTCAAAGCTTCCGCGCTTCGAGCGGGAAGAGGGGGGATGAATTCAGACAAGAATTAAGAATAATAATTAAATGAAACGTCAAAGCATCCGCGCTTCGCGCAGGAGGGGGTAACTGAATTCAGACAAGGATTAAGATTTTTTTTTAAAGTACAACGAATTGTCTTCTTTCTCTAATAATTAAATGAAACGTCAAAGCTTCCGCGCCTCGTGCGGGAGGAGGGGGGGGGGACTGAATTAAGACAAGGATTAAGAGTAGAGAACGGTACAACGAATCGTCTTCTTTCTCTCTAATAATTTGATGAAACGTGAAAGCTTCGCGCAGGATGGGCGAAACTGAATTCAGATAAGGACTAAAGGGATCCGGTAACTTTGTCTCAGATTCTGAAACAAAATCCTGGATTAAGCTCATGCTGCAATGGTAATTCTAAACCTGTAGGTCAGTCAAAAAACCCATAACTTTTACAAGCCGATAGCCTGTCTGATTATCAAGATATTTGTGATTGGAAATGCCGGTGAACATTAATGCGCCAAATGTGGTTCTCAAATTGCAAAAGATATCTACTCTTGGAGGGGGTAGGAGAAAGCAATTTTACGTCATATTACTCCAGGAAGTGCCTGAAAATGCACCTAATGTGGTTCTAAAGTTGCAAATGCTTCCTACTCACGGAGGGGGCTTTCGGACCCTTCCGAAACCCAACCCCGCTTGGTCGCTCCGCTCCCTCGCCACTAACGCCTCGCTCTGTCGCTTCGCTTCATCGTTTTTCATATATTTCACCTCATGCAATTTTGTGCCCCCCCCCGGGTAAGAAATTCCTTGATCCGCCACTGAGTAATCTAAGCTTTTGAATGCTTTGATGATATCCACGCATACAAATACAATGTATTTGTTATTAATCTGTCGTAAACCAAATATAATTTAGTATCAAACGTGTTTACATGAATATCAGTGTGTGTGTGCGTGTGCGTGTGTGCGTGTGTGTGTGTGGGTGTGTGTGTGTGTGTGTGTATGTTCATATGTTATAGCCATGTTAACTATTATTATTATTACTATTATTAATATTGTTATTATTGCCATGATTGTTGATATTATCATTGTTGTTATTTTTATTTTTAGTATCATTATTATTAGTACTACTATTCTTATTATAGTTAGTATTATAGTTTTTGATATTGTATCGTTATTATTATTATAAGTATTATTATTATCGTTATCAGTATCATTATCCTTATTATCATCAGTGTATTATTATCATTATCAAGATTAGTATTACTATAATACTAAAATTGTTATAATCGTTATCATTTTTAGTATTATTGCATGTGATGTAGGAATCTCCCAGGAAGCACTACATTTATAAAAAAAAAAAGGTATACATTGTAGATAAAAAGAGATTTCAAGGGACAAGGAAGAAAACACGAACAAGAAAACGAAAGAAGAGCCAATCTAAAAAGGAAGTGAATAGAAATAGTGGTGAAGGGAGCCAATCTGAGATTGAGCGAAATCGAGAAATATAGAAAGAAATAACACATGAAAAGATTAATATTCATTTTAAGCATGTCATGTACTGAAAATGATTTCCAATCGTATATACAAGTGATAACCTTTGGCATGGCGTTCTATATATACATGAAAGCAGGCGACAGCGGTGCTTATGACAATATTCCCCTTTTGTGTAAGATTCCTTTCAACCATGGACTGTACATTCTGTCCAATC